CCCCTGGGCACAGGCAGTCCTCTCGCCTCAGTCTCCCAAAGTGCTGGGATTACAGGCTTAAGCCACCGTGCCCAGCCCTGATTTTCTTCTAAAGTTCTGTTTGCACGTTATTTTCTGGGACAATTAGTTATAGTGAATCTGTCGAATATTGTAAACCATAATTTTATAGTGCTACAAAGAAACATTACTTATAGTAAATTCAGTGAATATTGTAAACCATAATTTTATGGTGCTGCAAAGAAACATTTCTCAATAGAAAGAGTGCTTTGGGCTAGTGAATTCATTCCTGTCACTTTTGTAGAGATGGGTATATCTTCAGTCTGCTTCCTAGATGACGAAATTGAGGAACAGACCTAGGATCAAGGGTTCTTGTTTTTGTTCCTCTCCTCCCAGCCTCTAGGCTGTGCTACTCACAGTCATAGTTTTGGTTGGGGACTTCGTACTTACTTCTCAAGATTGAGAGGAGGGCAAGATCAGTACGTATGCTCACTGTGAGATGGAATAGTTTAGAGCCATATTTAGTGATTCCATTAAAAAAAATCCAGCTCATTAAAAATGGCTAATTGAGCTGCCCAGCTGGGCAAGTAGGTGGACATTTTTGCTAGATATTGGGGAAGAGAAAGAAAGTCCCTTGATATTCAGGAGACCTTGGGTCATAGCATGCATTTCCCTTAGTGGACAACCCCAGGAGTTCTTGTCACTTGTCCTGTGTGTGGATGTTCCTCGAGAGTATCTTAGTTTAGTGTGGTGTCTTGTATATATAGACATTTTTTGTATTATTTTTTCCAGGCTAGAGGGAGTGGGCCACTGTATTTCTCTTGTAAGAAAAAGCTGATACCAACATGGGATACACTGAAGAGTCAAATTGGATTGATGCGTTAGCCCTGCTAGTTGTTGAGTCTGGGGCACACGGTTCAAAGGGTTGGCCTTCTCCCCTGTGAGAAGATGCTGGCTGGTCAGCAGAAGTAGGACCAATGCCAGAGGACCTTTTAGAAGTGAAAGGCAGCTGTTTTTTTTCTAGTAGTAGTTTGCAGGTGAGCCAGTACCTTTTTTGTTTGTTTGTTTTTGGATCAATTGGCAATCCAAAGTATAAATAGGAAACAGTCCCTTAATGTAAACCATTGGTTCCTTTGTTCAATGAATAGTTACAAGGGTTGTACTGGACAATGACTTCATGTCATCCTAAGAGAAAAAGTAAGATAATTTTTAAAGAAGTATCTTGGCTTAATTTTCCTTCTTTCAAAATCAAAATTTCAAAACTCCTCTTTGTGCTGGAAAATGCTTCTTGGTCATTCCTTGAAAATCTAACACTGGGGTCTCCCTGGAGTAGCTCAGCCCATGGGTATTTTTCTTATACAATATTTCTGTGTATATATTTTTAAGCATTAGGAGCTTTCTTCAAGTAGCTGGTGATGCACTTCTTGGCCTGGTGTGACTTTTGTTTTGTGTTGCTGCTGTTCCTGCTGTGTGCAGTCCTCGGTCCTGGCCTCTTGGATGGATGCTGATTGACTGACAGAGTGATTCTCTGTGCTCCCAGGTTCATCCTTGAGCATAAGTGGCGAGCTGGTGTGCCGTGGCTGTTAGGATGTAATGGTACAGGTTCTGCTCTCCTCTCCCCATACTTGGTGACAACATCTAAAGTGTTACATTGGAGCTACTTTTATTCTCTGGGCCAATGAGCATGCTGATGTTAACTTGGCGTTTAGGATTCCTCAAAGATTTCCCCTAACCTCCTCTTTAACCATATCTCCTATGTTTAAGCCACACAATCACACGTCTTCGGACAGCAGGTTTTTTATCAGCCTTGAAACCAGAGGTATAGTTTGATTAGAATGTTTGAGGGTGGGAGGGTGACTGGAATTACTTGGACATGCTCAAGCAGTGTTCTCAGTCCCAGCCGAACATTAGGACCACCTGGGGAACTTGTAAAACTCATGAAGCCCAGTCACATCCCAAACCAGTTAAATCATTTGGGGATGGGACCCAGGTGGTTCCAATGCGTAGCCGAGTCTGGGAGTCCCACAGTAGAGGCTGGTATCTTTACCACAGAAGTGAAGTGCTTGTTCTTGGCTGTTTGTTCTATTACTCTGCATCTGATCTAAACCCAGCATCCATGCTCTGGTCTCTCAGTCTTCACTCAAACCCTAAGAGCCCCACCTGGAAATCCGCTTCTTTTCCTTCACTTAAGTCCATCTCAGTCCCCTGTGCTGTCTTTTTCCCAGGCTTTCAGATAGGCCTCCATTTACAATGATCTCTGTGAATTTTCTTAATTTTAAAAATCTCATCATTTGTCTAGTAGATACCAAATTGTGACATATACACTAACTGACTTTTTTTCTGTATTGTCTTAATATCTGTAAGATATTATAGATATTAAAATAGGCGAGTGACCTCCCTGAAGGACATGTAAGTTCACGTGAAAATATTTTTGAGACTTGGCTAACAGAGTTTCTTACTTAAATGTAAGTTTTATTTTTGTTTTGTTTTACCTTCAGATACTCTTTCTTCTAACTCTGTGGGTTTTTGTTTTTTTTTAAAACTATTTTAAGCCATGGATTCCTTTGAAAATCTGGAGTAAGCTGTAGGCCATATCCCCAGAAAAGTGCTCATACAAGTAACACATACTGATTTTATATACAATCATTGGAAGCTGGATCCCCTCTAAAGCCTGTCCCTGGACATATGGAAAGTTCTGTTTTATCTATTTCTTCTTAGCTGACAGATGGATATGCTTATTAGCCTGATCTGATTGTTCCACAATGTATGCATGCATTGAAACATCATATCGCAACCCATAAATATATACAATTACTATTTTTCAATTAAAAATAAAGTGAAACTATAAAGAATGGTATGCCCCCAAAAGTTTGTAAGAAGAGGGATTTTTTAAAAGGAGGAGTGAGGCCGGGCTCGGTGGCTCAGCCTGTAATCCTGTGCCTTTGGGAGGCTGAGGTGAGCGGATTGCCTGAGCCCGTGGGTTCGAGACCCGCCTTGGGCAGCAAGACCTCATCTCTACAATAAATCAAAAAATCAGCCGGGCGTGGTATCGCATGCCTGTAATTCCGGCTACTCGGAAGGCTGAGGCGGAAGGATCGCCGGAGCCCAGCAGGTCGAGGCTGCGGTGGCCGGCAGCGGCCACTGCACTCCGGTCTGGGCGACAGAGTGAGACTCCAACTCAAAAAAATAAATAAATAAATAAAATAAAAGGAGGAGTGAGGAGAAGAAATGTAATTTGGGGGGGATCTTTTCTTAGGAGTGGCAATGTGAGAAGAGTCTTCTAAAAGCAGGACAGCGTTTGGCTTGAGGGGATGAGGCCAGACAACAGATAGAGAGGGCACCTCTCCCTGGTTATCCCGTCCTGGGCAAGATCTGGGTGAACCGTGTGGTGCGACTCCTGTGGCAAAGCAGGCAGAGTTAATAGCTTAACTGACCACTAGATGTCAGCACAACACCAGTGAGTCTTCTGGCTTTTGGCACTAGTGTGCTTGAGCCCACATCAAGACAGTCAGAGACCTAATGCTGCCAGATGTCTGCTGGATTTATCTTAATTATTATTATTATTATTTTTAATACAAAGGAGAACCAAAGGGTGGACAAAGGTGTGTTCATTATAAGTAAGTGGAAGAGGAAGGAATAGATGAGCGAGTAGTTCAAGGGAGGAGCGGGGCCTGACTCCAGCATTTTCCCTGGAAATGAGATGCTCTTGGAGTTTTTCTTACGGCTGGGCAGGCATTTCAGGCTTCAGAGTTTAATATTATCATGTTACTCACTTTGCTGATACTCCAAAATTCATTTCAAACCATTGTGACTTTGAATAAAAATGTGAATGATGTGCTATTATTTAATATTTGGGCCGTTTAAAAAATTGAGGTGAATCTTATTTAAGTTTTCTTATTTTCGTGAAATTCAGGTCTGTCACCATAGCAGGTCCCTTTGTTTTTGTTTTTTGTTTTTTTTTTTTGAGTTGGAGTCTCACTCAGTCACCCAGACTGGAGTGCAGTGGCCGCTCCCAGCCACTGCAGCCTCCACCTGCTGGGCTCCAGCAATCCTTCCGTCTCAGCCTTCCAAGTAGCCGGAACTACAGGCGCACGCTACCACGCCTGGCTCATTTTTTGATTTACTCTAGAGATGAGGTCTCACCAAGTTGCCCAGGCAGCTCTCGAACTCGCGGGCTCAGGCAATCCACTCACCTCAGCCTCCCAAAGTGTGGGATGACAGGCTGAGCCGCCAAGCCCGGCTAGGTCCCTTTGTTTCATGGACACACATTGCACCCCTGACCCCAGGCAAATCTTTTTATAATTGTACATATTTTGGCAAGAATAATGTGTTATAAATCTAAATTCATTGGTTTAAAAACAATTTGTGTCAGTAGTGTATCCTCTAACATTAAAAAATGTATTAACGTGGCATTTTATTTAAACGTGAGTATAATGAACACATTCTTGCTTCAGAATAGTACAATTGTATCCATAATTCAAAGATCTAGATAGAATGCCAACAAGTTCTGTTGTGGAATCTTTGACAACTCTATGTAAAATTAGTTCATTTCATTATCTTTGAATTCCTCGATTTTGAAAAATACCCTTGGAAGCAAGGATATTACTCGGAAAGTAAGCCTACTCGTGACTTCTTCAAATGTTCTGAATGTTCTCTGAGTGAACATGACATTGTTGACACAACCTAAGTCATAAAAAATGCGTCTCTAGGGAGGAAATGACTTGACATGTTTAATATAGGCTTTCCTGCTAAGCCGCAACCCTGGGAAGTCCTGTTGGTTTCGGTGCTGTAAAGAGGATGGAAAATGAAGTGGAAAGCAAGACTCTTTAAATCTCCCTAGTTTAGAATTTCTATTGGATCTAGAATGTATTCTTCATGGGAAGCATTCACGCAGAAACACAGCTTAATGACAGCAGAGGAAGTAAGGCTTACGTGATACTCACAGGGTAGTTTGGGTCACGGGACCTGCTTCTTAAAGCAGCTGATATTTTTGTCTCCTACAGGTGCACAGCTTTAAGGGCTACTGGGAAAAACTGAGCTCCAACCTAGAATATGTTAAATATGCAAAGCCACACTTACACTATAACAACAGTGTGATCAGGAGAGAGTGGCACGACCTGATCTCTGAAGAGGTATGTGTGGGTCGGTGAGAATAAAGCAGGCAGCCCAGGCACAGTGGATGAGATCCAGTGCTTTACATCCTAGGGCTGGCTGACATTGGCAGCACTCTCCCCAGCTGCCAGGGACTTCCACATTGTCAATACTGACCTCTATAGACAGACAGCAGTGCATCTATGATGTCTGTTCTCTAGAGCTGTGGTCACCAACCTTTTTGGCCTTAGGAACCAAATGGTTTTGTGGAAGACAGTTTTTCCATGGACCTGGGATGGGATGAGGGCGGGATCATCAGGCATTAGGTTCTCATAAGAAGCGCACACCTAGATCCCTTGCATGTGCAGTTCATAATAGGGTTCATGCCTCTATAAGAATCTAATGCCACCACTGATCTGACAGCTGACAGAATTCCACTTGCCCGCCACTCACCACCTGCTGTGTGGCCCAGTTCCTAACAGGCCACGGACCAGTACGGTCTGTGGCATGGGTTGGGAACCCCTGCTCTAGAGGAGGAAACTTAAGTGCAGAGAGGTTAAGGGACCTACAGCACAGTCATTGAAGTATGGTTAGTATCCATGTCTCAGGTGTATTCTTGGGTTACTTATGTAGTTAAAGATTGATGTAAAAAAAATCTAGGTGTTCCCGAGTTAGTGGCTGCTAGGGATTTGGGGTCGTTGGGAGGAGAAGAGTATATGTGACTGATAACTATACAGAAATGACACAAGGGAGATCTTTGCGGTGATAGAAGAGTTCTGTATCTTGATTGTGCTGGTACATTGTGGGACATGAATCTACATATATGAGAAAATGACATAGAATTATACACTCACGTTGTGCCAATGCCAGTTTCTGATTTTGATATTGTACTGTCATTATATAAGATATAAACCTTGGGGAAGACTGGGTGGAATGGAAGGGTACATTAGTTCTCTCTGTAGTATCATTGCATATATTAATAGCGTAATGATGTTGTGTATTGTATATGACTGATTTGCAACTCCCAGCGAATCTGTAATTGTTTCAGAATAAAATGTTTCTTTAATGTTTTTAAAGAATCTAGGTGTTCTGGTTACCTGGAAAGTATATTTCTTTCTAAAACTCTTAACTATAGTGCATTATATCCTTATTGGGGAAAAAAATCACCCACAAAACCTTCATCTTCCATCCTCGTGACATGTTCTCACTCCTAGAAAACAGGAAAAAGAAAGTCCATGGCATACGTGAGGAATATTCTTGATAATGCAATAAAGTAAGTAAAACTAAGGTTATTGTTAACTTTTACAACTACCTTGTTGACTGTCGTTCATGGGATTAACTTACTTTTGTCATATGGCCTCAGCAAAATTATATTGTCAGCTTCATGAATGCAGCCGTTGGGCTGTATTCTGGAGTTTGGTGCTGGAATTTCTAGTGGGAAAAGCCTGTATATTGAGCCTAATTGACTTGCAGCTGGGGGATGGATGAGTTACAATGGATAAGGGGTAAAGAAAGTTCTTATGATGTGAACATGTTAGGGGAGAAGGGCAGACAGTAGTTGATTTTTTAAGTGTTAGTGGGCTGGTGAGCTTGCTCTTATTTTGAAAGTCTATTTTCCGGAAAATGAGTCATCTAGAGTGCTAAAAGGCCCCATTCCAACCTCTGTTCTATTTTCTGTCCCTATTATTTCCAATAGCTGAGAGCTGCAATTGTTCTAAGTTATTGCCATTGTTGGCACTAAAGGGCCTTGAGATTTTTTTAATTGCCTGTTGTGGCTTTCACTGTGCTGATTAAAGTTTTTGAGGTTTTCAGCAGCTTGAAAAATTTCTGCAGTGGTTGTATGGGCTTTTAAAGGAGGATATCTTTGTATGATGTGGCTTTAAAATTTTTAAAGTAATGCTTTCTGTGTGAATAACATGACTAATTTCTTCGTAGGGTGATTTCTAACCTAGAAGCAAGGAATTTGGGTAAGAAAAGACCTGTAATGAAGCCTTCTGGGTTTCAGTCAGCGTTTTGTGTGTAGAACTGTTCTTCCTACCACTGTGGGTTGGCAAGGATCACTTCCAGGTGTGTAGCGAGGGCAGTGCTCTTCAATGTCTTCCTGTTGGAGTGGCTACACAGCTCTTGTCATGTCTGTCTTGGCACCAGGGCCTTCAGGGACAGCTGCTAAGTGTGCTTCTGCTGCAGGAGTCCCTGGGTGCTGGCTCTGTGGTTTTCATTAGTTCTCATCACATGGGCACACCTTTGACTGCACCCATGCTTTTGGCAGCTCCTTTGGCTTGGGGCTGCCTTCTTCCCAGCTGCCTCATCATGCAGGGTCTCGTGCACCTTTCGTTCTGGTTAAGACTTGGGTACACACTGGGCTAGTTGCTAGGGGCACACGGTTGAGGAGCCTCCAGTGTGGTAAGCAGTGTTGTTTTGAGGAAAGAGCTCGGGTTCGGGAATCAGATAGAACTGGACTTAAATTCCAGTGTGGCCACCTGCTAACCCTGTGCTCTTGGGCAGGTCACTTATACATTTTGTACATTGTCCTTCTCAGGGCTAGAGTGAGGAGAAAATGAGAGTGAGTAGGGTAATGTAGATAGCACCTAGCATGGTGCCTAGTGCATGTGTGCACCTGAGGTGGCGGCTTTATCATCAATGTGGGAGGAAGAAATGCTGACACGACTTCCAAACCAAGTGACAGGTATTACGTAACCCCTGGGTGCAGGGGGTGAGGGGCTAGATCAGGAGTGGGATTGCTTGGGGGAGGGAGGGAGGTTGGAAAGGCTTCCCAGAGGGATGACATCTGAGTTACGTCCTGACAAACAAGGGGGACTTGGCCAGGTGAAACTGGGGGAGGAGGATGCTGAGTGTAGTCAGGTACATGCTTTTTCTAGTAGTCAGAGGAACACTTTCATGCCTCATCAAAGTCAACCTTCATTAAATAAGCTGGCTGTTTTTGGAGTCGAAGTCTCACTCTGTTGTCCAGGCTGGAGTGCATGCTCACAGTGACTGAGCCTCGACCTCCTGGGCTCAGGTGATCTTCCACCTCAGCCTTCTAAGTAGCTGGAGCTACAGGCATGTGCCATCACACCTGGCTAATTTTTTTTTAATTGTAGAGGCAAAGTCTTTACAAGTTACCCAGGCTGGTCTTGAATCCCTGGGCTCAGGCAGTCCTCTTGCCTCTGCCTCTCAAAGTGCAGGATAACAGGTGTGAGCCACGGCGCCAGCCAAGCTGTTGTTTTTATATCCCACTCCTATTGTATGGGCATGGGTGTTTTGAGTATATGCTGGGTGACCCTAATGGAAATTATTTTATGCAGTACATTGCCACACATCCTGCCATAGTGAACATAGTGAGCAGCCCAGTGAACTTTGACAGTGAACTTGTGGTCCAGCCCCAGCTGACAGAACCTGGGTTCACTGCACAGCCTGGGAAGAACCAGCCTTTGTGTTACTAGGCCATCAGTGAAGATGGGGGCTCTGCCCTGCCAGATAGGGGCATGAATGTGTGTGACTCAGGCATACCCTCTTCACATTGCTAGGGGTTTTGCAATATGGGGAATGTTACTGGTCTGGTCGAGGTGTCTGCCATGTCCACCCCTCCTGCCTTGCTTACAGAGCTGCCCCATGGCTCAGGACTATTCCGTCCTGTTACCAGTCAGTCTCTCCTAATGCACTTGATAAAACTCTTCCCCTTCCTTGTGCGTGCTTTGCTTCTACTACTTCCCTGTAAAGAATGCTGTCACTGCTTGAAACAGAACATTCTGTGAAATGCAGGGCTACTGGGTTCACATTTTTAATTGTTTCATGTTAATCATGAGAGTTGTATGGGATCCAGGTAAGATTTATTCCAAGGGGTCAAGAGGTATCCATGCTACCCTCTCCACCCAAGAGGAAGTTCTTAGCTCACTGAGCAGGGGAACTGCCCTCTTGCTTGACGCTGGGCCTCAAGTGTTTCAGGAGAGGAAGAACAGAGCACAAAGGTATTAGGAGAGCATCAGGGCAGATCTTCTAGCAAGACTGGGTGTGCCTGCTCCTCCGCTTTTGCCAGTGAAGGGCAAATCAAGCTGGAGAAAGTGCTGTGTCATTTAACCTAACATATCACTCTCCCTCTTAATCTAGCCACCTTTTTTGTCTGAACATTTGTGCCAGTTATTATTATCTGCCACAGTAAGTAACTGGTTCCCTCAGGTCAGTAATTCTGGAACTCACTGAGCAACAAGGGTCAGAAAGTAGAAGGGAGTCGTGTAGTCCTTCACTGAGCCCGTCCCTCGATTTATGGCCCCCTTAGGGTTAAGAGAGAGTCCAAGTTTCTCTGTCTTCAGTGGAGCAGGGCTTCTTAGACAGTGGTGAATTTTAGTGTTGAAGAGAAATCAAAGCTAGAACCTGTTGGTTTGGAGAATGTGTTTGTTGTTTTCTTCATTTCTTGGTCTTTCCCTCTCTCTGTCTCACAGGGCTCTTTGTGCATCACCTGAGTGATAAGTTCAGCTTGTCACTAGCTAGATCACACTTAGCTAATGAAACATTTTCATCCTATCAGGGAAGTGTTATGTTTTCCCAGTGACTCAGTGGAGGGAAACCCAGGCTGATCCTGTTTTCTTCTAAGCTATTTCCAGAAAACTATTTAGAGCTATTAAACAGAACTATTCCTCTGTTTAATTTCAGAGCCGAGATTAACTCCCCTCTTGCAGGAGGAAGACAACCGCCAGAGGCTGCTTATGGGACTGGTAAGTGGTGTGTGGGCTCGTAGGTGCTGGCACACATGGACCCCAAGAAGACAGGAAAGGGCTAGATTGTATTTCTCATTCTGATTTTATTTTTCATTCATTCTTTCAACAAATAGTTGTTGCCAGCCACTGCAGACCATGTACATCCAATGGTAGAAACACATGTATGATTTCTGCCCTCTTGGAATATGTAGTTGAGTAGAGGAGATGTACATTAATCGATTACACCAATAAATACACGATTACAAATCATGATAAGGAATGCATAGTGCTAAGAGTGTTTATTTACTTATTTATTTATTTATTATAAAGATGTGGGGTACAATTCAGGGTTAGGTATACAAACATTGATCATGCAGGTACCCTTATTGATGAGGTGTGCCTCCCCTTCCCTAGCAGTTTCCTTCAACTGCCAGTCCCACCCCCCCTCCCTTGACAGTTTTCCACTACTGCCAATCACTTTCTTATAGCATTACAATTGTTCAAGGTCACCTTATGAGTGAGAACATATGAAACTCAGTTCTTTGTTTCTGTGATAAATCACTCCAAGTCCATCCAATTTGCTACAAAGTCCATATATTTGTCCCTCTTTATGGCTGCATAATATTTCATTGTGTATATGTACCACATTTTTTTTTTTTTTTTGAGTTGGAGTCTCACTCTGTCGCCCAGACTGGAGTGCAGTGGCCATTCCCAGCCACCGCAGCCTCGACCTGCTGGGCTCCAGCGATCCTTCCGCCTCAGCCTTCCAAGTAGCCGGAATTACAGGCATGCGCTACCACGCCCGGCTGATTTTTTGATTTATTGTAGAGATGAGGTCTCGCTGCCCAGGTGGGTCTCGAACCTGCGGGCTCAGGCAATCCACTCACCTCAGCCTCCCAAAGGCGCGGGATTACAGGCTGAGCCACCGAGCCCGGTTGTACCACATTATTTTAAGAGTGTTTTTTAAAAAGGGAAGAGCACTGTCTTTGTAGCTTTTGTATTGGGTTTAAAATACAGCAGAACAAAGTAGTTTTCCTCAAGAAGTTTTACTACTAGAATGACCAAAGAAATATAAATCAGAACAAATTAATGGAAGAACAGAATTGGTAAATAAATAAAAAATTGTCTAATGCAAAAAATTGATTAAAGAGACATCTGGAAGGCCCAATAAAATATTTTTAATACCATGTGGATTTAAGAATGGGATAATCTATTGCTTTAGATATGGCAAGTTTTAAAATATGAGAAGAATATGTATAAATCTATATTTATAACCTTCAAAATTCCAGATAAACAGTTTTCTTGGCAAGTAGAAATGACCAAACTTGACCCAAGAAGAATTAGAAAAGCTAAAGCTCAATAACCATAAAATAATTTGGAAAAAAAGGCCAAAGGTTATTACCAAAAAAGATCCCAAGTTATTAATGTTAGTTCTTTCAAACTCAAGAACCAGATCATTCTCATGGTATATAAAGTATTTTTTGAAAGACGATAGAAAGGGTCTCAATTAAAAAGCCAGCATAACTTTAAAACCAAAGGCTGATAAATACTACTTTTAATTATGAGTAGAGATACCACAAGTCTAATTAAAATTCTTTCCAATGGGCTCTTGAAAATATAACATGTTCAAGTGGAGTTCTTTCCAGGAAGGCTTAACATTAGGAAATATACTAATGTAATTTATTATATTACAAGGGCAAAAAAGAAAAAAAGATAATCTCTATAGGTGCTAAAAGATGATAATAGGCAAATTCTACTCCTGGAACATACTAATCAGTAAGACAAAGAATCATTTAATACTAATAGTCAATATCCTTCTGAATGGAATGCTGGGGGCATTGCTGTAAAAACCAGAAATCTTTAAGGTTTGCAAATCTTTGCTGGTTTTATTATAATTTTATATTGTTCTGAAAATTGTAGCCAATGTAATAAGAAACCAAAGTAAAAGAAGATACTATGATTTTCTAATGCAACAAACATAATCAACTAGGAAAATGTAAAATAATAAAGAGTAACTTAGTAAGCTAGTGATTCCCTACAGGTATTTTCTTTTTGGTTAGAATTAAACAAGTTAGAAAAGATAATAGAAAACAATATTCAATTTCCAATTCTTGGTGACTAAGTTTAATAAAATTACCAAAAAGCCAGCAAAATTTCTCAATTGACTAAGAAACTCATTTGACAAGGTGGAGAGGAGTGGGACTGGCATTAGCAGATCTCTAAATGTGTTGCTGATCTACAATAATAGAAACAACATGATGCATATACAAAGGACAGGCAGTCGATTCTAGTTTAAATTTGAATCTTTAGTGTGTAATAAGTGAGATATTTAAAACCAATGTAGAAATAAAGAATTTTTAATCAATTGGTCAATGGTTAACTATTTGGAAAAGAAAATTAAGTCACATTCCTCCCACTCCAAGTACTACCATTTTATATCATAAACCAAAAGTAATATCAGATGGATTAAGGAGTTTAATATAAAAAATTAAACTGTGTGAAAGAATTTAGATAAAATAAATGAGTAGTTAAATAATACCAAAATAGAGAAGGCATTTAAAATATATTATTGACCAGAGACAGATAGGAGAAGACAGATTTGACTGAATGAACACTTAAAACATAAATATAAAAATAAAAAGGCAAACAATAAAATTGAAAAATAAATTTGCAACATATGCAACAAGTGATGAACATTTAGTATGTAAGTGAAGTTTACAAATCAGTAAGAAAACAATATATCAGAAGGGTATGGACAAAAGGCTCTGGTCAATCCTCAAAAGTAAATGGCCAAAAAGTCTAGAGTAAGGGAGAAGTTCAGTATTGCTATAATCATGACAGATAGCTGGGCTCTGTGGCTCAGTCTGTAATCCCAGTGCTTTGGGAGGCCGAGGTGAGTGGATTGCCTGAGCCCGCGGGTTCGAGACCTGTCTGGGCAACTTGGTGAGACCGCATCTCTACAGTAAATAAAAAATTAGCTGGGTGTGGTAGCCCGCACCTGTAGTTCCAGCTGCTTGGAAGGCTGAGGTGGAAGGACCTCCGGAGCCCAGCAGGTGGAGGCTACAGGTCTGGGCGACAGAGTGAGACTCCAACTCAAAAAAAAAAAAAAAAAAAAAAAAATCATGACAGACAGCACAAGTGGTTTTTTGGTTTTGGGTTTGGGTTTTTGCTTGTCAAATTGGCAAAGATTTAAAACCATACCAGCAAAGTTCAGGATACAGGGAACTGGCCTCATGAAATTCACTTGAAAATTAGTATAATCCCAGTGGAAGGCATTTGACAGTGCAAATCTGAAGTATGTGACCCAACAAATTCTATTCCTAGGAATTTGCTCTGACAAAATAATTGAGGATATGGCAAACAACCTTTATATAAAGATTTTTTTGGGGCGATATTATTAGCAATAGTACAAGAAGTGAATACGCAATTATAGTACTTTTGTAAAATTACTATGCAGCCATTAAAATGAATGTGGTTAAGGATATTTATATGAAAAAAATAGATTACAAAACATTAGAATGGTCATACACACCAGGAAAGAAAAAACCCCATATGTTAATGTAGTTTGTAGGATTATGGGTTATTTTAATTTTAATCCTTATGGTTATTGTAGAAAAATGGAAAAGCACAAAAAAGTATACACTATTTCTTAAACAGAAAAGAATTTATTTTCAAGCCAAATTAACTAGCACATGTAAGAGACTCAATTGAATTGAGATACCACTGTGTCTTGGCCCTGAAGGCCACCGGCTAGGCTTTACTCGGGCTGTGGTATATATGAATTTGCTAACGTAGACGATATGTGCATGTATCATGTCAGTTGTACAGTTTCTGTGGGCTGCTTATTGGTACAGAGATCTCTCTAGCCAGGATGGCCTCTTGCTAAGTAGGGCATCTAGGCAAAAGGGAGAAGAGGAAGAGGAGGAGAAGAAGGAGGAAGAGGAGGAAGAGGAGAAGGAAGGAGTAGGAAGGAGGAAAGAAAAGCAAAAAAGTGAGGAGAGCTGGGAATGCTAACTACTGATTGAGGAGGCCCAAGGATGACCAAAAATAGCAGAAATAGAAACAAGCCTGTTTGGAGGTGCCAGAATGTATATTTCATTACTTTTGTGTGACCAGGGATTGAGTGTCTATGGCCACTGTGCAGAGGGAAGTACCTGATGCATTTCCTTTTTACTCCTGCCTCTGTCCTTTTATTATTTTATTTTATTTATTTTAAACATGTGGGGTTAGGTATACAAATGTTCATTATGCAGGTACCCTTATTGATGAGGTGTGCCCCCACCTCTGTCCTTTTAAACACCCAAAATTGTTGCCCCATTAGCACAGACATTCCATGTGTAGAGTGGTTCCTGTTAATCCCCCAGGGTTCCAGGAGCAGTAGGTTTTAATCCTTTGGTAGATTCCAAAGCCTTTGACTTCTACGTAGATGACTTCCACCGGCTTCTTTGGAGGATTCTTGTTAGGGCCAGAGCCTGACTCTCAGTTGTTCACTGGCTTTGGGTAAATCATACGTAGTTCCTCCTGAGGAAAATTTCAGGAGGTCCCTGATTTATCCTCACCAGAGAAATGTTGAGAGTTCTATGTTTCTGTTGGTGGGATCTTCAGATCCAGTATTTTTTATATTGATAAAGAATGTTAATAAGTGGATCTAATTCAAACCAGTTACAGATGGGAGGAGGTAGGTTGTAACTTATCTAATGCATATTTTATTTTCAGATGGTGTCTGAGCTAAAAGGCCATCTTATGAGACACTTACAGGGTGTAGAAAAGAAGAAAATTGAACAGATGGTTCTGGACTACATTTCAAAACTGGTTGGTCTTGTTTTTATTTCTCCTCATACCTCAATCCACATTCCTCATCCTCTGTATATAATTCTTAGAATGTGGTTCAGTGAACCTGTTTGTGTGTTTTTCATATTAGGTTTTTTGAGCTCTCCCATTCTCATATCAGCATATTTACTGCTGTAGATTAAGGCAAGGGAAATAAGAACCATAAAGAAAGCTAACTTGGTTTTGAAAGTGATTTAAAATTGTCTTCCTTCAAATGGCAACTATACATTCATGCAAGTGTAGGGCAGTGCATATAGTATATTGCCAAGTGTTGACATCTCATTGGCAACTTCCAGCTCCTTATTAAACATTAAGTAATGCTTTCTGTACATGGAGGTTTAAGGACATGAGAGAACTTGAACTTCAGTTCTTAATTAGTTCTAATAGCACAACTAAACCAGATTCCAACTCAGTGTATAAATAATACCACATTAGAATTTACTGATGAAATTAGCAATTTATTACCTGGTAGCCACTTATTGAAATTGTATGATCCAAATTAGTAATACCATTCTATGCATATATAGAAGTGATGTGACTAGATATAATTTTAAGGCTGTTTTGAGTCTTTCAGAAAGCATTTAGAGTTGAAGCCTGGTCCTGCTTAGAATCTGGAAATAATATGTTTAACAAATTTTAAAAACCGTTTACACAGAAAGAGAAAATACACTCCATTATTTCTCTAAGTTTGGACAAGACCAGTATGCGAATGAGCCAGTGTGCTAACACATATTTTTCTGTTGAAATCTGGAAGATAGTTAAGTGTATTAGATATAACCCTGATCTAATCACTTTGTGTTTAATTTTAAAGTTTTCTGCCTTTATTGCAATCATTTGAATCTCTTAATATATGTGAATTTCTATAGTAAAGTTTGAGTTTCATAGTTTTTAATATATTAGAAGAGATTGGTATTCTTAAATATTGATATTTACAATCAGGGCATTGAATCTTAAATCTCCTCAGTAGAACTGTCCGTACCAAGGATCTTACTTTATGATGTGTTACTGATCTTCCCATGTTGATATGAACTTGCTTTCTTTGTTTTGAAACTTACAATACATGATTATTTAACACACCCACATATCAACTTTCTTTCTGTTGACTTTAAATCTTACCTTCCAAAATGTTAAGAAGAGTTTCCTTTTTTTTTTTGAGTTGGAGTCTCACTCTATCACCCAGACTGGAGTGCAGTGGCCACTCCCGGCCACTGCAGCCTCGACCTGCTGGGCTCCAGCAATCCTTCTGCCTCAGCTTTCCAAGTAGCTGGAACTACAGGCACGCACTACCACGCCCGGCTAATTTTTTGATTTATTGTAGAGATGAGGTCTCGCCAAGTTGCCCAGGCAGGTCTCGAACCCGCTGACTCAGGCAATCCTCTCACCTCAGCCTCCCAAAGTGCTGGGATTACAGGCTGAGCCACCGGGTCCGGCAAGAGTTTCCATTTAAACATCATTTTTCTCCATAATTGACCACATAAAAGTTTTAACATTAGTTTGTGTTAACAACTCCTAGAACCAGTAGGCCCAGAAATTAAACATGTATAGTCTCAGAAAACTCCATGCCTCTGACCTTCTGACTCAGCAACTAGATTGAGTTTGGTTGAGGCCAAATCTTCCTGGCCCTGCCCAGCAGCAACAGCTACGCCTCCTACTCCCTTCCAAGGAGAGTGGCTGGGCAGTCTTTCTTTTTTTTTTTTATTTTAAAGACGTGGGGTACAATTCAGGGTTAGGTACATAAGTGGTCATCATACAGGTAACGTTTGGGCCTTCCTCTGGTCCCCACTTTGCCTGGTTGGAGATCGGGTACCCTTACTGATGTTGTGTGCCTCCCCCTTCCCCGGCAGTGTCCCATTACTGCCAATCTCTTTCTAATAGTATTAGGATAAATGTTAAAGGTTCACTTATGAGTGAGAACATGTGGTACTCAGATCTTTGTTTCTGTGATAGATCACTGAGTATAATAGACTCGAAATCCATCCAAGTTGCTGTGAAGTCCATAATTTTTTCTTTCCTTATGGCTGCATAATATTCCATCATGTGTATGTACCACATTTTTTTTTAATCCAGTCCAGTTTCAGTGGGCAGCATGGTTGGTTCCCTGTTTTTGCTATTGTGTATAGTGCTGCAATAAGCATGCATATGCAGGTATCTTTTTTATAGAGTGATTTGAGTTCTTCCAGGTATATTCCCAGAAGGAGGATCGCTGGGTCGGAGGAAGGTAGATTTTTAGGTCTTTTAGGAACCTGGGCAGTTTTTCTAAAACATATCCAAGGAAGTTGCTGCAGAACCCGGTTAAATTGGTCACATGTTAACATACTTGTTTTCAGTCAGAGAAAAATTGTGAATCTGTGTCATTAAGGATGATGCTTACCTATGAGTCTGTGGGGGACCCTTTCTGCTTTGCCTCTTGTTCTTAGCCCACATGTACAATGCATGGATTCACAGCTGGTAACAGTTCTCATGGAAACTGCCCTACTGCTGACACACTTTTTGCAAACTTAGAATGGGTTTCTGGATAAAGCTCTACAACAGAGATTATGGGCAATTATGTTCTAGTCAGTGTGCTAACTAATTTGTGCAACAACCCTATTAAGGATTTCCCCTCATTTTATAGATGAGAACACTAAGATTTGGAGAGAATAGGTAACTTGCACAGGGTTACATAACTACTAAAATACTGAATCTGGACTTGATGCCAATCTTATGCCACAGCTCACACTCATGACCTCCTTCTATTCTGAGTTTTCTTTCTTCTGAATGTCGGCTCTTGACTCTTGCAGTATAACAGGGCTCAAGCAAGCTCAGTGGTACTTGACCTTCACTGATGGATGAGGGTCTGTAAGTGTGAATGGTAGGGCCAACTAGCCAGGCTGGGGAAGCTCAGCTGGGCACTGCCCGCACAGACAGACAGACAGAGGATGCTCTGTTAGGCTCTGATGCACATTTTCAATCTTTCCATCTTGGATTCTAGTGCCTCTGAGAGGTTGTGTGTCTGGGCACAGCCTGAATGTCCTGACTGTGCTTGTCCTGGATGTGCTTGTCTGATCTGTGGAGGGAGAGCGGAGGGCCTTTGAGGGAAAGAGTAGAGTAATGGTTAACGGACTGTCTTTACCTTGTAGCTGGATCTCATTTGCCGCATACTGGAAACCAGTTGGAGGAAGCATAATCTTCATTCCTGCGTTCTCCCCCTGTACGCACGTACTTCTCACTCTGATTGCTGCCTGTTTTAGTGAAGCCCTTTTGGGACTTACTAGTTCTAGAGAAGTTTCACCAGTCCCAAGCCATGTATCTTAGTTATACACTAAGATATGCCCCTGCTCTTCACCAATCCTCTTTCCTTGGCACATGGCTGATAAGGAGGAGGGATGCACAGGCCCAGTACTGTCAAGAAGGGGAGTTTCAGTTACAGTGTATGGACCTACTCTCTGGTTAGATTCTAGGTATTAGGTTGATGGCCACTGTCCTATTAGGTTTTCTGTTGGTCATGGGATTTCGCGGTTAGTGTGAATCCCCCCCATGTGTGGTACTCAGAGCTACTGCTTAGGGCACATGACGTTTTAGAGATGAATTCCTAGGCTGAAGTGCTGCTTTGTTATTCTGTCCAGCAATAGTCGCGGCAGTGCTGCTGAATTTGCAGTCTTTCACATCATGACCAGAATTTTGGAAGCTACTAACAGCTTATTTCTACCTCTGCCTCCTGGTAAGTCTTGGCTCATTTGTTTTTTGGTATAAGATATTTGTTCTTTCTTCTTCACATGGAACCTGGAATTTGGCACATTATCACATTAATGACGAGACCTTATGTTGAGAAATTATGTGTCTGGTGTTACTGTAGAGATGAGCCCTGAAGTTGGTCTCTATTGACCAGCTCTCCTCCTGACTACTAAACCATGCCGTAGCTTGTTACTGACTTTAGCGAGCCTAGGCTGCTCTCTGTGCAACCTTCTGGGATAATTTGAACCAGTGAAATTAATGTAGGGAGCTCTTTCTCTGATGCCTACAGACCTAGTTTATCTGACTGAGATGTCTGAAGGTTAATACTCAGAAGGAAGTGGGTCTGGCTCAGGAATTTGAAACAGGACTGATTCAGGCTTTAAAACACCCTTGGGGTATGTATATATTGTCATTTATTTAATTGATCATTTGTTCATTTGGTCAGTCAACAAACACCTATTAAGCAACTATTACATAGCCAGGTAATGTACTTGGAATTGCAGTGGTTTTAAAGATTAATAAAAGTCTAGTTGGGAAGATATATATATAATCAGCATCCTTTATCAGAAATATGCTTGTGTTTGCTATAAAAAACTGTCTGCTTTATATTTGTTACATGTAATTTTTTTTTTTACTGTATAACAATACTTAACATGAGATAACTCTCTTAACTTTTTAAGTGGACAACACAGTATTGTTAACGAAAGACATAATGTTGTATGGCAGATCTCTAGAACTTACTCAGCTTAACATAATTGAAACTTTATACCTATTCATCAGCAATTGCCTTTTCCAGCCCCTGGCGACTGCCATTCTGCCTTTTGTTTCTATGAGTTTGACTGTTTTAGATACCTCATGTAAGTGGAATCGCACAGTGTTTGACTCTCTATCACCTAGCATAATGTCCTCCAGGTTCATCCATATTGTCACATGTGGCAGGATGTCTTTCTTTTTTAAGACTGGATAATACTTCATGGTATAGTCTACATTTTCTTTATCCGTTTACATGTCAATAGACATTTAGGTTGTTTCCATATCTTGACCCTTGTGAATAATGCTGTAACAAACATGGGGATGTACATCTCTTCAAGATCCTGATTTCAGTTCTTTTGGATAGATACCCAGAAGTGGGATTACTGGATCATACAGTAATTCTATTTTCAATTTTCTGAGGAGGCTCCGTACTGTTTTTCACAATGGCTGTACCATTTTACATTCCTACCAACAGTGTACAGGGGTCCAGTTTCTCCATATTCTTTCCAACACTTATTTATTTTTTTTAATAGTAGCCACCCTGAGAGGTGTGAGCTGATATCTCATGGTAGTTTTCTTTAGCATTTTCCTGAATATGAATACTGATGTTGAGCATCTTTTCATATAATTATCGGCCATTTGTACGTTGTCTTTGTCTTTAGAGAAATGTCTATTCAAGTCCTTTGCCCATTTTTTAGTTGACTTTTTTTTCTATTGAGTTGTTAGAATTTCTTTTTAAAAAAATTTTTAGATTTAGGGGGTACATATGTGTATTTGTTATGTGGACATATTGTGTAGTGGTGGGGAGTAGGGTCTCAGGTGGTCCATTCCCCAGATGGTGAACATTGTGTTCCACAAGCAGTTTCTTAACCCTAACCCCCTCCCCACTTCCCCCTTATTGGTGTCCCCAGTGTCTATTATATCCATCTTTGTGACCATTTAGCTCCAAAATATGAGTGAGAACATGTAGTGTTAGGTTTTCTGTTTCTGAGACAGTTTACTCAGGATGATGATCTCCAGCTCCACCCATGTTCCTTCAGAGGACATGATTTCATTCTTTGTTATGGCTGCATCATAGTCCATGGTGTATCTATGCCACATTTTCATTATCTACTGATCACTTGATGGGCAGTTAGGTTGATTCCTTATATGTTTTGGTTATTAACCTCTTATCAGATATGTGGTTTGCAAATATTTTCTTCCATTCCATATGTTGTCTCTTCACTCTGTTGATTGTTTCCTTTGCTGTGCAGAAACTTTTAAATTCAGTATAGTCACACACGTACATTTTTGCTTTTTTTCTATTTAAACATTTTAATTTGTAGTTAAAAATCTTTCAACAAAGTAAACTCCCGATTCAAATGCGTTTCACTGGTGAATTCTATCAAATATTTAAGGAATAAATAATGTTATACAAGACCAAAACCAGACAAAGACATTACAAAAAAACAAAAACAACAAAAAAACTACAGATCAGTATTCCTTGTGAACATAGATGCCAAAAGTCCTTAACAAATATTAACAAACCAAATCCAGCAATACGTAAAGAATATAATGTATCATGACCAAGTGGAGTTTATACCAGGAATGCAAAGTTGGTAACCATCATTTTATTCACTACCTTGAGGTCAATTTTTTTTCTTTTAGCTCCCAAATATGAGTGAAAACGTGATACTTGTCTTGCTGTGCCTGGCTTATTTCGCTTCACATAGCACCCTCTAGTTCCATCCTTTTTTGCTGCAAATGACAGAATATAATTGTTCTTTATGACTGAATGACTGAATAATATTCCATTGTGTACATATACCACTTTTTTTCCCATTAATCCATTGGTGCACATTTAGGTTTGTTCCATATCTTGTCTACTGTAAATAGTGCTGAAATAAACATGGGAGTGTACATATCTCTTTGCTATTCTAATTTCCTTTCTTTTGGATATGTACCCAGCAGTGAGATTGCTGGATCATATGGTAATTTGTTTTTGTTTTGAGGAAGCTGATTCCACAGTAGCTGTACTAATTTACCTTTTCATCAGCAGTGTATGAACATTTTCCTTTTTCTGCATCATAGCTCACTGAAACCTCAAACTTCTGGATTCAAATGATCCTCCTGCCTCAGCCTTCCCAAATAACTGGTACTGTAGATGTGCACCACCTTGCCAAGCTAATTTTTCTGGCTTTTTGGTACTAGCCAATTTAACTGGGTGAGATGATTATTTTATTGTGGTTTTGACTTGCATTTCCCTGATGATTAGTGATGTGGAGCATGTCTTCTTTTGAAAAATGTCTATTTAGATCTTTTGCCTATTTAAAAATTGAATTATTTGGTTTTCTTGGCTAGAGTTGTTTGAGTTCCTTATATATTCTCATGATTATTCCTTTGTCAGATGGATAGTTTGCAAATAGTTTCTCCCATTTTGTAGGCTGTGTCTTTACTTTGTTGATTGTTTCTTTTGCTGTGCAAAAGTTTTTTAGATTGATCTGGTCCCATTTGTCAATTTTTGCTGTGGTTGCCTGTGCTTTTGAGGTCTTACTCAAGAAATCTTTACCCAGATGAATGTCCTGAAATGTTTCTCCAATATTTTATTCTAATAGTTTCAAAGTTCAGGTCTTTTGTTTAAGTTTTTAATTCATTTTGAGTTTTTGTATATAGTAAAGATAAGGGCCCCTCTTCATTATTTTGTATGTGGATAGTCAGTTTTTCCAGCATTATTTGTGGAAAAGACTATCCTTTCCCCATTGTGTGCTGGCGCCTTTGTTGAAGTTCAGTTACCTGTATATGCATAGGTTTATGATTGCATATAAGTTCTACTGATAGCTGTTTTTGATAGCTGCTACTACTTAATATAAATCAGCTGGCTTTATTTAGTTAATTCATTCATATATATCCATCCATTCATTTTTGATTCATTCCTTCATTTTATTTTTGAGTGGGAATTTCTCTCTTGTTACCCAGGCTGGAATGCAGTGGCACGCTCATGGCTGCCACAGCCTTGACCTGCTGGGTTTAGGTGATCCTTCTGCCTCAGCCTTCTAAGTAGCTGGAACTACAGATGCATGCCGCCACCACACCTGGCTAGTTTTTGTGATTTGTTGTAGAGACAAGGTCTCACCAAGTTGCCCAGGCTGGTCTCGAACCCCCGGGCTCAGGCAATCCTCTCGCCTCGGACTCCCAAATTGTGATACGTGGGTACCAACACATATCTGGTACCCATTTAGTGGTAGGTACTGTTCCGTGTACTTCACATAAATTAGCATGTTTAATTTTCATATTGAAACCTAAGTGGTAGAAACTTAAATGGAACCTTATTAAATTGTATTCAACCAGCTTTGACCAACAAAATGACACTTTCATATCATTCTACTTACTATTATTCCCATTTGATAAGTGGTGAAACTGTGACCAGAAATGTTGAGTAATTTGTCTAAAGTCACATGACTATTAAGTGAAAGAGCCAATGTTCAAATTCAGGCAGTCTAGCTCCGAAATCTGTGCTTTTAACTACTGTTCTGTGCTGCCTCTTGAATTTTATATTCTAGACAAATTAGCTGATATTGAAACATTGGCTATTTATGGGTGCAAGGAAGCCCAGTGTATCTCAGTTTCTCTGCATTTGTGGTTGATCTGATACAGTTTGGAATCCATCATGCTTCCTCCATTCATACACTTTATTTCATAAAATCTGTTTGTAGTGGAGGTACACAATGAGTTTCCCTTTTTACTTTATAGGGATTTGAAAGTGACCATTCATGAGAGGAATGGATGGTTTAAAATGATCCCAGGGGAATTTGAATTGTAAGGTACCCTCTTATAAGAGTGAAGGGACTTCATGAAAACTATATATGGCCTTCTGGCTTAAATTCTCAGTATGTGTCATTAACACAAAGATTTGGTAGGGGAATAAATTGACAGTTTCAGATTTGTTTATCATGGATATTCAAGCTCTTTTTAAAAGTAAATTTAGCTGAGGTGAGAGGATTGCCTTTGCCCGCGGGTTCGAGATCAGCCTGGGCAACATGGTGAGACCCTGTCTCTACAATAAAATCAAAAAATCAGCTGGGCATGGTAGTGCACACCTGTAGTTCCAGCTACTTAGAAGGCTGAGGTGGAAAGATCGCTGGAGCCCAACAGGTCGAGGCTGCAGTGGCTGGGAGTGTGCCACTGAACTCCAGCCTGGGCGACAGAGTGGGACTCCAACTCAAAAAAAAAAAAAAAAAAAGAAAAAGAAATTAAATGGACTGGGAATGTTATTATGTCTGGAAAATCATAGAAATCCATTTTTTTATAGAACTCACATTCCTTCTCAGGGATGTGGGAAAAAACATAGACAAATGTTATCCATAGTGATTGAGAATTATTATGAGGCGACCTAATAGCTTGTGTCCACAGGTAGGTTTTTCTCCCTTTTGCTCTTAAATGCTTTTTTCCCTCATGTGTCATGGAAATAGCGAGGTGAGGTGACACTGGGTAATTTGTTGTGTGTGTTGTGTGTATACGTATGTGTGTATAAATTCAGTGTTTATATGTGTTATGTGTAAGTGTATTTGCTTTCCGAGTCTACTATTTGAGTTCCTAGTGTCGGAGACTTGTAATTTGAATTGGTTGAAGAGAAGGTCATGAGGACTGCAGAAAGGAAGTCATGGTTTAGAGTGAGGGCATGTTCTGCTTAAAAATGACCTCTGTTCCCTTTACTGGCTAAGGGAGGCCAGGAATCCTGCAGGATGATGACTAAAGCTGGATGGAAATGATGCCTAGTTATATGTAGCCAATTTGCTGGTGCTCAGAACTGACATACAGAGAGGAGGCCAAGACAGGCCACTGAGCTTGGGATTGTACCCTAGGGATATAGAATGAAGGGTCATCAGGGATCTTTAGGACACAGCGCTGGAGAGGCAATTTGGAATCCAGAAAATCAATCTGATCAATAACCTAACATAGCCTTTCCTTCAGAAGTATTTTGTAACTTTTCTTAGTTTTGGGAAGAATTTCCAAATTCATTTGAAAATCCTCATGTTGTTGATTGCTGGTAAAATTGTGATTTTTTTTTGTCTTTTGGACTCAAGGAACCTCATTCTGTTGTCAGCCCATTAACATCTACTTGTGGGCAGAGCCTGCACTTCATCTGACCCTTGATGTTACCCTAACTTTGGACTGTTCCACTGCTCATGATTTATGGTGTCTAGAGAGAAAATTCCATAATTTCTGTGAATTCAAGCCCCTGCTCATTGGGCATCATTCCTTTGCTGTGTACACTTCTAGGAGTAGGCTATGACTCTTCCCATCCTTCCCACATTCAGTTAGTTGCCAAGCCTGTTACCATTGCCTCTCTGACTCCTTCCCTCCTTGTTTACTGTTAGTGCCTCTATTACCACTTGTACCTGTTCAGGCAATAGCCTCCCTACAGGTCTTCCTGCCTCCTGTGGCAGATTCTTACTCCAGTCCATTCTTTACCTGTCGCCATATTAATATTATAAAAGTAAACTCAAGTTCCCTTTCTGTCCTCAAAAGCTTTCAGTGCCTCCCCAAAGTCTCCTATGAATAAATTTCTTGCTGTCATTCAGCATTCAAACCCTGTCACATACACTCATAGCACAGAACTGATCACATTTTTAAAATGTTTATTTTGGTGGTATTTGATGTATGGGGCAGCAGTGGTGCCTGAGGTGCCCATTTTTGTATCCCCCAGCTCCTTGCCCAGTGTATGGAAGGGATTTGCTGAATAACTTGACCTTTCCTCTTAAATATTTCCTATCATTTAAGGTTCTAACTCAACTGTATCACTGGAGGTTTTCTGGATACGTTCCATTTTTCTTACCTTTGGGCCTCTGTTCATATTGTTGTATCAACACAGCTGCCAGTTATTGGGGCAGAATGATGTCATGGTTAAAAGGCTAGGTTAAGACCCCACCACCTGCATTCAGATTTCAGCTCGCTACTTATGATTTATATAATTCTTGGCAGCTCCTTTTCTTCTTCTTCTTCTTCTTTTTTTTTTTTTCCTATTTATATACTCCTAATCTCCTTAGCACCTTGAATCTCAGTTTCCCCATCTGTGAAATGAGAATCTAGGAGTTCCCACTCCATAGTTTTGTATTAAGCTCAAATGAGCAAGTGCACAAATGGAAGGCCTCAGTACATGTCCAGTACTAGCACTTGTTGATTATGCCATGTTTTGGGCTCTTTATAGACCTGGTTCTAGTTCTCAGAACAGCCTGGTGGTTCCATTTTAGAGATGAGGAAATGGAGGCTTAGTTACCTGCAACTGATAAATAACACAGCAGGATCTAGCCTAGGTCTGCTCATGCTGAACCTCTACCATCTCCACTCAGTGTGTTCTCTTGTCTCAGTTCCACTCAGGAATTGAACTTACCCTGCAAAACTTCCCTAAAACTTCTGAGAATGCTTTTCTGATTCTCTCCTGGTCTGATATCTTCTCCCATGCTTGCTTTTATCTTTTGTCATTGTCAGTGTACTGAGAGCTCTGGGTTTGGGTAGGCAGCCCTCTCCATGACACTTAGGCTCAAGAGAGTGCCTGCCTCTCTTTTGAATTCCTATAGATTTGCTATCTGGCCATATCATTTGAATTCTCTTTATTTTCTACAATTTAGTCCAAGTAGACTCCAAAAGCCTTTCTCTAAGGCATAACCAGAGATCAGGCATATAAACTGTTCCTTCCCTTTTGGCCCCAATTTTTTTCCCTTCAGCAAAATGGTCTCTGTCCCAACAATTTTGAGTTTGAAGTGTTTCTGTTCTTTTTTACTATCTTACCATAGAGTTACAAACTTATTAAACTGTATAACTTTTTTTGAGTTGGAGTCTCTGTTCCCCGGGCTGCAATACAGTGGTGATCATGGCTCACAGAAGCCTCAACTTTCTGGTCTCAGGCAATCCTTCTGCCTCAGCACCACAAGTAGCTGGCACTGCAGGTGTGCACCACCATGCCTAGCTAATTTGGGTGTGTGTGTGTGTGGACACTATGCCTAGGCTGGTCTTGAACTCCTGGACTCAAGAAATCCCCCCACCTTGGCCTCCCAAAGTGTTGGAATTATAGGTGTGAGCCACCTGGCCCAGCCTAGTAAAACTGTTTTTAATTGAGCAGGCTTTGCTCTTTTTTTTTTCCCTCTAGAAAGGGACTCAAAGAAAAGGGAATATATACCTACTGGGAACTTAGTATAAACCCAGTATAATATTTAGTTGTGATAATACAAAGAAGGAAACTTAGACCTTGTTTTCAAGAAATTTAGTTGGTTCCTGGTACCAAGCACTGAGTGAAGGGCTTTATTAACATGATCCAATCTATCCCTCTGGAATGCTGGATATGCTGGCTAATTGTGTTTACCCTCCTGGATCTCTCATCCTAGGTTTTCATACTCTGCACACCATCCTTGGGGTCCGCTGTCTCCCTCTGCATAACTTCCTGCATTACATTGATAATGGAGTGTTGCTTCTCACCGAAACAGCCGTCACAAGACTCATGAAAGGTAAGAGCCCTGAGTGTTAGTCCCAGCCTGAGCACCACCAGGGCTGACTTCCTAGGTGTGTGACCTCTGCAGTCACAAAGGGCTGGCTGTACTCAGAAGGGTCCCATGTTTGTTTTAATGTTCTGCATTCAATCTTCAAATTTTTAATAATATTTGACCAAGGGCCTCCTCATGTTCCTTTTGCACTGGGCTCCACAAATGATGCAGCTGGTCTTGTGAGCACATTTCATTTCCCATAACCATCCTTTGGGCCAACTGAAAGTGCCCTCCAAGAGGCCTCAAGGGATTTTTCAATCCACATACAACTATTAGATTCCTTTTTTGTGCATGAGGGCACTGAGCTTCGGAGACTACGTAGGCTTGTTTCTCAAGAAATTGTCATGTAATGGCTTATTTTTAGCTGATTGACTCTGTCATCACAAAGTTCGGACTTGAAATGCAAGAAAAATTAGATGCAGTGCTTATGCAAATTTAAACTTAAAGGTCTTCAGTGCAATCATTCACATAAATTATTCAATTATGATATTGTAATAGATGAGCTTTGTTAAAGCATTTGCCATTCCTCAAGGTATCTTCTATTTTAAGTTAGTCAGTTAAGTTGATTTGCGCCTGGGAGCCTGTTATTAAAAAGTTCTTTTTCATTCAGAGAATTGCAAAGTAAACTTTTCAAAGGTTTGTTAGATTAGCTTGAGAATACAAGGTTGGAATATATATTATCAGGATGAAACACTCAAGTATGAATACTTGCTGAGGTGTTAAAATGAATATTTCTGTTTTGTTTGCCAATTTCTAACCTTCTTGCAGATCTGGACAGTACAGAAAGAAATGAAAAACTAAAATTCAGCATCATCGTACGGCTTCCTCCGGTAATCCTGAGTTATATTTTATTTTCTCCCTAAGCCTTGGCATGATCCTCCTCCACTTTCTTCTTGCAAGAAGAGCATTTACTTGTTTTGGGTTAAAGTCAATTAAACTGTTTCACTTTTCTACTTTTTCCAAGAAATCCCATCCGTCTCCACCCCGCTGTCAGCTGCTTCCCACTGGGCCTACAAAGTTCTCGCTCCTCTAGCTTAGCCTTGGCACAGCCCAGTGAGAACATTTAGCCCTTTCCTCCTCTTAGGAACCACTCTAATATTTATATCTGAATCTGAGAGGGAGAGGAGGGGAAACATATGCTCTGGTATTTAAACTGATAAGAAATTTAAATACAGGTGAGGTCAGAAGGTTCAGGAACTGGCATTTCTACCACAGAAGGAAAACATTCCCAGGTCAAAGGAAGAATGAGAAACATGAGGGAAAGTTATAAAAGCACTCCTTTTTTTTTGGTGGGGGAGATTCAGAAATACTATGAAAATAAGAAATACCATTGCAAGGTCTTCTGAGCTTCTCACTCAGAAACTTCCTGACCTTAAGAGCCTTGGCCAGCTCTGTCCACTGTTTACATACCTGGAGCACTTGCACCTCTGGCAGTGTCCTCCCACAAAGGAATGTTCTTTGCCTTCTGGACCTGATCTGCTTGCTCTTAACAGCCCTTCCTCCTCAAGACTTACTTTAGCAAAGGCAAGAATAGAAAACACAGCATATTTTCCAGAGCTAGAGCTCTCTGGGGAACACTGTTGAACATTTAGTTTGGACTTCAAATTAGATTTTTTTTTTTGCCCTATACTCTCAGGAATTAAAATTTTCTAGGCAAGACAGTGGCAGAGAAGTTGATATAAACATGATATAAATGAAACACCCTTTCAGTTCCCAAAACATCATTTAGAGTTGATGTGCCCATCTCCAGTGTTGAAGAGCAGTAGATAAACTCCACTTCAGAAAAAAGAATTTGGCAACATCAACATATAAACTACTTTCCTCAAGGCAACATTTGAGGGAATGTTTATTCAAAATTCAGAAGCATACCTTGTAGGAACGTGGCCTTGTTCCAAGGGTCCTCAATCATGAAGGGTCTATCTGTTAGACTAGCTACTTTGGAATAATACTTTTAAAGTTATGAATAGATGTAAGGTATGTTTATTTAATGCAGTGTGAGATATGTTTTCCTCTACATATTTTTAATTTGCATAATAGCTTATCGGTCAGAAGATCTGTAGACTCTGGGATCATCCTATGAGTTCTAACATCATTTCGCGAAACCACGTGTCACGACTACTTCAGAACTATAAGAAACAGGTGAGTCTGTGAAAGCGCAGCCAACTAATGTTGTTTGAATCCTATATACCCATTTCAACATAAGCAAATGATAGCAATTGCAGTTCTTATCATTTTATTTAAATGTATGCTTGTTCAGAGTCAAAGAACTGAATACTGCATGTTCTCATTCATAAGTGGGACCCGAACATTAATCACATTAGCACAAGGGGGGGGGATCAGCAGTCACTGGACACTGCCAGGGAAGGAAGGAAGGGGCCAAGGGGGAGGGCATGTAACAACAAAAAAGGGTACCTGGTCCTAAACCAGGGGAAGTGAGGACCAGTTGGAGGCCCAAACTTCACCTGCATGCATCCCACTTCTGTAGCTAATCCTGACTTGTACCCCACATCTCTCTCTATATAAAAAAAAAATCTGTGCTTGTTGTGGAGAATCAGTTTATTCCAGAAGTGGTTTCCGTTTTAGCCGCGGAATGCTATGGTTGACAAGTCCTCATTCAGCATAGAATTTCTGCCTCTAAACTACTTCATCGAAATTCTGACAGATATTGAGTCCTCCAGTCAAGGTATTCACTCCTCTATTCGCCGGGATTTCCTGCTTTCCCTGTGACACATCAGTCATTCCCTATTCATTTCTGTGAACTGTTTTCTTTCTAAAATACTTTTACTTACAAGTAGGTCCTTATTGCAACTGATTTTCATTAGCAGTGCACAACTTACTACTACGATTCAAATTTAGAACGAGGTACAGCAGTTTGGTTCTGTCTTAACAAGTACCAAACTGAAATTCAGATGGCTAATATATTCTGAGTTTTGCTACCAATTTTAAATATCGCTAAAGCATTTAAGAGTGAGTAAATTATCAAAGAAATAATCACCTTTGAAATTTTAAAAAGACTTAAAGGGGTTTAAAGCTTGTTTGGTTGATGCAAATTCTTTTTCTCTGTGTTAAAGCTTAACACATTTTAACACCACATTCTCAGAGTAATATGTTTTACTAAAATATACAATACTTAGAATTTCAGTGAGTTGTGGGCACAGTTATAAATATTTCATGGTTCCATGGTAACTGTTTCTCCCCCAACCCTTTTTTTTCCAGCTCTGTATACTTTTGAAGGACATGACAATGTGGATGCAGAATTTGTAGAGGAAGCAGCTCTGAAACACACCACAATGCTCTTAGGCTTATAAAAGAGAAAATGTAATTGGATCTGCTTCTGATCTTTTAATTTTGCTCATTAACCTCACTCTTGAGTGCTTTAGCGATATTTAAAATTGGTAGCAAAACTCAGAATATATTGTCTAGCCTTCTGAATTTCAGTTTGGTACTTGTTTCAGACAGAACCAAACTGCTATACCTCATTCTAAATTTGAATAGCTGATGAGTTCAAGGAGGGACACAATGGCATAAATGATGTTCTTCCTAGGGGCATATCTTCCTAGTAGCTTAATAGGCCAAAAGCTAGTCTCAGTTGCACTGTGAAATAAAATGTGCCTTAAAAATGTGGGGAACAGTGCCTAGAAAAGCAAAAACTAGGTGTGTCATTGAAATAATGTACAACAAGCAGAAAAATTAAATGTTGCATAAGGACAATATTTGGAAAGAGGCTACTTTAAAAGAAATTGAATTTGGATCAAACCAAATCTGCTATCTCCAGTATGGAATAATTTGTATATGACATACAGTAGTTTGTACTTACTATTTAGAGTAGGATTTGTCTTTGTGAGTTCAGATGAAACTGTATTTAATTTTTTTATATTTATAAAAGTTTGGTTTAGTAAGATTTTTATCATTAAAAAACACTGAAGTTTTGGCCTGACTCTTTCTGTTTTTGAACATAGCCTTTTTATTTGAGCCAGAAATCATAAGACCATGGACATATTTCTCCAAAGGCCCCATGACACCTAACTAGTTCTACCATTTGTCTTTTTCTCTCTCTACGGTGACTTCATTCTGACCCATAAATACAGTTGCTGTCCACAGTCAGCACATGACCCTTTGCTTTTTTTTTTTTTTGAGTTGGAGTCTCATTCTGTCACCCAGGCTGGAGTACAGGGGCACACTCAAGACCACCCCAGCATCGACCTGCTAGGCTCCAATGATCCTTCCACCTCAGCCTTCCAAGTAGCAGGAACTACAAGTGTGTGCTACCACACCCAGCTAATTTTTGATTTATTGTAGAGATGAGGTCTCGCCAAGTTGCCCAGCCTGGTCTTGAACCCCCAGGCTCAGGCAGTCCGCTCACCTCAGCCTGGGATTACAGGCTGAGCCACCGAGCCCAGTCTAACTTTTCTAAAATCACCATTGTGTTCTACAAATTGTCCTCTCCTATAGAATTTCCCCTTTTTGGTCAAATATTTGGTCACCAAGACCCGATTTTTTTTTTTTTTTTGAGTCAGAGTCTCACTCTGTTGCCCAGGCTGGAGTGCAGTGGCTCGATCATGGCCATCTCAGCCTCGACCTGCTGGGCTTAGGTGATTCTTCTGCCTCAGCCTTCCAAGTAGCTAGAACTACAGGTGTACACTACCACATCTGGCTAATTTTTTTCATTTTTGGAGAGATGAGGTATCGCCAGGTTGCCCTGGTCTCAAACCTCTGGGCTCAGGCAATCCTTTCACCTCCACCTTGCAAAGTGCTGGGATTACAAATCTGAGCCACTGTACCTGGCTAAATTTTTAAAAATAGAGACCAGGTCTTGCTGTGTAGCCCAGGCTGGTCTTGAATTCCTGTGCTCAAGCAATTCTCCTTCCTTTACCTCCCAAGGCACTGGGATTTCAGGTGTGAGCCACTGCACCCAGCTCCAAGACTCAAAATCTTGGAGCCACATCAGCAATGCAGTACTGATTCTTTCTCCTGGTAAGGTCATTATCTTCCAGTCCCTACTTCCATTCATTTCTTTGCACACCTGGATTGTTTACATTGCTTCCTAAGGTCTAATTTACCCAACATATATTTGAGATAAACACTAGTTTGATCCTGTCACTCTGCTCATAATCTTTCAATACCTTGTCAATTCATTACAGGATAAAATTCAAACTCCTTGACATGCAAGGCCTCCCAAATTCCAGTCTTCTATGATATGAATATTCTATTCTAACCAGGCCAGTTCTCTGGGCCTTGAACACAACTTTTGTCTTATCGCCAAGCCTTGCTCAGGGTTCTTCCACCCACCTGGATTTCCTCTCACCTGTTAAAATCTTGTTCATGTTTAAGAACCAGATAAACTGTTCCATCTGACTGTGATCCAGGCCATTCCAGCATGTAGTAGCACCTTCCTTCTCTGAACCAGTAGCACGTATATATCCCTTTGTGAGTTTTAAACATTTTTCCATTCTTAGGTTGTTCAAACTTCCTACCTATGTATTTTTTGAATCCTCAATGACATGAATAATTCCTACAACACAGGAACTATGCTTTAGTATGCAGTATTTCTTTGTATTAATGACATGGCTTATACAGTGTTATTTATCAAAGGCACTCCCAAGTAATTGCTTTATAGTGATTTCAAAAAACAATGAGGTTAGATTTAGAATGCACAGACTGAGAATGAGATTAATTTCCCTCCAATCTGGCAGGATGAGGGCTTGGAACAGGTTGATTTAACAAAATAAAGAGATGTGTTATTTCTCATTCCCAGAGTCGTGAAATAAAATTCATAACTGCTACCAGTATGAAATAAAGATACTTTCAGCATATTAGTGAATATAAAATTTCAAATTTCAAACCTCAAACCTATTTGTGTATTATACAGGAGAAAAATAGAATTAGGAAAATACACTTGGGTGAAATGCAATAAAATTAGAGTAATGAAGTGGAACTGGCCTCATAAATTCTTTCACTTGCAAAGGTATAAATATTTTCATTGAGATTTTGAAAAATCTGGCATCAGAACTTAAAAATCATGAGTTTCTTTGCAGGTTATATTGTGAAAAATCAATTTATAAGAAAGATAAATTAGAGTGTAATTATTTTTGTAGCAAAAAGACTCACCATAATACTACTTTTAGAAACAGTAAACTTTAAGCTAAGATTTGACTGGAGTATTAAAGGGAGAGTGCTGGAGTACAGCAGGGGAGTGGAAATGCGATGACTGGAAATAAAGGAGGGCACCCAGCCTCTGCAGCTCTGTCTTCCCTGCCCAGATCACATCTGCTTGGACTCAGGTGGAACTTCCTGTTACAGGGAAAGGTAAGCAAAAGATCCCCACCAGTCCCCACTGCCACTGCAAACACCACAGTCCTTACAATAAGAAAATCCCACAGTCCTCACAAGCCTTGAACCCAGTTTGGAGAGTTGCCAGGAATTCACACAGCTGCATTGCCCTGGGTTAGAAGCACAGGTAGGTACTCCCACTTACCCCCTGTGAGTCAAGCAGCTGTAGCACAGTGCTATCGTGATTTATTGTAGAGAGGAAGTCTCGCCAGTTTGCCCAGGCTGTTCTTGAACCCCTAGGCTCAGGAAATCCTCTCGCCTCCACCTCCCAAAGTACTGGGATTACCGGTGTGAGCTACCATGCCTAGCCTATGGAATTCAATTATCTTAATAGCAAAAATTCCTAACGATCACATTAAAAATGGGCAAATGATCTGAACAGACATTTCTTTTCTTTTCTTTTTTTTTTTTTTTTTGAGTTGGAGTCTCACTCTGTCACCCAGACTGGAGTGCAGTGGCCGCTCCCGGCCACCGCAGCCTCGCCTGCTGGACTCCGGCGATCCTTCTGCCTCAGCCTTCCAAGTAGCCGGAATTACAGGCATGCGCTACCACGCCCAGCTGATTTTTTGATTTATTGTAGAGATGAGGTCTCACTCTCCAGGCGGGTCTCGAACCCGCGGGCTCAAGCAGTCCACTCACCTCAGCCTCCCAAAGGTGCGGGATTACAGGCTTAGCCACCGAGCCCGGCTCTGAACAGACGTTTCTTAAAAGAAAACATATAAATGGTATATGGAAAAAATGCTCAATACCACCAGTCATCAGGGAAATGTAAATCAAAACCACAATGAGTTATCATGTGACCCCAGTTAGAATGGCTATTATCAAAAAGACAAAAAAGTAACAAATGCTGTGGAGTAACAAAAGCAGAGAAAAGGGACTTTTTTGTTCCCATTGGCAGGAATGTAACTGGTACAGCCACTATGGACAACAGTATGGAGGTTTTTCCAAAATGATCTTGTAATACCATTACTGGGAATATATGATACATATAATATGATCTCATGATGCCATTACTGGGAATTTTTCCAAAAGAAAATAAATTATTACATTGAAGTTACAATTGCACTCCCATGTTTACTGCAGTACCATTCACAATAACCAAGATGTGAAATCACCTAGGTATCCAAAAACAGATGGATAAAGACAATGTGTCATATATATACAATGGAATGCAATTAAGCCATTAAAAAATGAAATTCTGTAATTCACAGAAATACAGATAGAACTGGAGGATATTATGCTAAGTGAAATAAGCCAGGAACAGAAAGTTAAACACCACATGCTCTCACTCAGATATGGAAGCTAAAAAATGATCTTATAGAAGTAAAAAATAGAACAGAGGATGCTAGAAACTAAGAAGGGTAGGAGGAAGGGAGGGATAGTGAGGGACTTGTTAAAAGGTACAGAATTACAGCTAGATAGGAGGACTGAGTTCTAGTGTTTTATACCACTGTAGGATGACTGCAGTTACCAATAATATATAGTTTCAAATAGGTAGAAGGAGATATTGACTATTCCCAACACAAAAAAATGATAAAATTTGAGATGATAGGTATGCTAATTACCCTGATCTGATCAGTATACATTAAGTGTATTGAAACTGTGTACCCCATGAATACATACCATTTTTTGTCAATAAAAAAATAAAAAATAAATAAAAATGACATTTCTCTAGTGCTTTTTTACATGATTTATATTTGACAATATTAACAAAGTGAGTTATGCCTTTGTGATACCTGGGCTATTTTCTTTTGAGTTGGAGTCTCATTCTGTCACCCAGACTAGAGTGGAGTGGCATGCTCCCAGCCACTGCAGCCTCGACCTGCTGGGCTCCAGCAATCCTTCCGCCTCAGCCTTCCAAGTAGCTGGAACTACAGCCATGTGCTACCATGCCCAGCTAATTTTTGGTTTATTGTAGAGACAAAGTCTTAGCAAGTTTCTCAGGCTGGTCTCGAACCCGCATGCTCAAGCAATCCACTTGCCTCAGCCTCCCAAAGAGCTGGGATTACAGGCTGAGCCACCAAGCTCGGCCTATTTTCTTTTTCAAATAGTCATTCTATCTTTTTAAAGTGCATATATTGAATAGTATTTTTTTTTTCTTTAATGAACAAAGACCAAGTGGGGACCAAAGTCAGGCCCCTGTACAATGACCATTTGTATACCTAATTCTGAATCATACCCAACATCTTTATTTTTTTTGTATGTAAACTTAAATTGTCAGCTATTGATTGGATGTCTTTTTAAAACTTCTTATTGTTAGGTAAATGTTTGAAATATCTACATATGTCTCTTGTGATGCATTTTGCTAAGAGTTTTTTCATTTGCTAGTACATTTACTTGTTTCTGATATTTCAACACCATGCTATTAGCATTTTCTTGGGATAAGTTAAATAAAAAAAAAGCCTGGGCTCAGTGACTCAGCCTATAATCCCAGCACTTTGGGAGGCTGAGCCTAGTGGATTGCCAGAGCCCGTGGGTTCGAGACCCACCTGGGCAACTTGGTGAGACCTTGTCTCTACAATTAAAAAATTTTTTTTAAAAAACCACTGCTTTCATTTAATGTCCTTCAAAAGACAACTTCTTTTTCTCTCAAAAATAGCTCTTGTGAGGTAAGTAACACTGAAAGATAAAAGGCTTACTCCAATACATATGACATTAGATTGTGATGAGAAATTAATTTTATGCTTTGTTTTTATGCAAATTATAGTCCAGTATTTTCTACAATACCCCTCATCTTTAAAATAAATAAATGAATAAAGACCACTCTGCCAATTTCTATACTTCATAAAATGGATTTATTTTTAGTGCATTTTTATAGCACCTTCCTTACTACATATTTCTAGTGGACAAGAAATAAACAAGCAATTGAAAGATATGTGTTGACATAATTGTAGGACAATTCTATGTCCTACTCAATATCACGTAAAATATAGTAGTTGGGGGGTAAATGAAAATCATGTTGCACTCTGTTGTTGATTAATTGTGGTCACCCTACTTATCTGTGATTTTAGAACAATTAAGCTCACATTTTCCAGCTGTGGGTATGAGGCAGGCAGGTTGAAGTCCTCTCCTTGAGGGGCCTGCATTGGATCACATATTCAGATTTTAATTGGCTTTACAACAGGTTTCCTTATGTGTCTCATATTGGCTCCGGGTTCACTGGGCTTAAAAGGAGCCAACGCGCCGTAAGGTTTGGGTAAAGGAAGAGTGGCATCAGCTTCTGGGATGTAGGCATTTGGACGCTGCTCTGCAGTCGTGTAAACACTGTTGGGCAGCTGGCGATTATCTGCTTCTAAGAACTCCTGCAAAGAATGATTTTTCTTTTCAGTTTTCTGAAAACTCTGAAGTCGTTTCATCCTTGGGTCTCAAAAGACATAACTGGATTTGAGCAGTCTTTGGCGGTGCTGATACTCCCCGAAGGGGAGGAAGGGTAGAAGGGTAGAGTCACCAAAGACACACACGCGCACACACACACGCGCACACACACACACACACACAAAGTCACATATCACTGGAATGGGCTATATTGCTTCAGTATTGCAATGTTCCTGAGGTTTAGGGCTTTTCAAAAACTGTTTGGAGGGTCCTGAATGCACTATGTTCCAACCTCAACAACTGTCACAAAGCACAAATTATTTTCCTATTTTTGATAAAAGTTGGAACAACATATTTTCTGGTAAGTCATTGATGAATGAATGTTACAAATGGAAGAGAAAAAGGAGTAAGGTGGAACCACAGGAGAAAGTTCACTTTGAGCTTCAAGTCTTCAAGATTCTGCCTGTGCCTCTGGAAAATAGGGAATCTCTTATGGCACTAAAAAGAGCTCTACAAGATGGAGTTCAATAAATCATAGCAGGGCGCCATAGGTAAAATCTGAATGCCCTAAAAAGTGTAGCCCAGGTGGTGTAGAAATGACAAATCGGACCTTATGCTCATGTAGTCCTAGTGTGTGTTTAGAATGCAGCTTTTTCTTAGGTTTGGGAGTGAATAGTGATTCTTGACAGTCTTAAGAGTGAGTTGTACATCTCCTTGGAAAGAGATGCCTAATTTCATTCTGAAATACTGAAATGCCATGGGAGTAGACAGAAGAACTGGGTACCTGACTTGCAGGTGGAGTCAGTGATAGACCTAGATGTAGGCCAGTGGTGGGAAAAGAAAGGGGTGGCATTGAGGTCTATGATTCACACCAGGTGCAGTGTTTGTAGAAGCCTGTGGCAACCGTAATATGACTGGAGGTGTCATCATATGCTGTGCAGGCCACAGAACATGGAAGTGTCAGGTGTGATCTGAGTGGAGGTGCAAAGACAGAGGTTGGAGACCTATGGATAAAGCCAATACCAGTCTGGACATTGCTGTACTGGTGGAAGACCATGATGTGCCACCCCAGCTCAGGATTTAAGGCTGTAGACTGTGCCTCGATGCTTGCCAAATGTTCTCCAGGGCGGAGCATGGTGGCACTTTGAACTACTGTACTTTGACTTATCTACATAATACCTTAAAAAAAACCCCAAACTTCTTTCTTAACAACTGTTGGGACTATGTGTGTGTAGTAGAGTGGGAAATTTGTCATATATTGTGGGAGGATTGACCCCTTGCAAGCAGCACCTCTGGGCACACACTACAAATGCAATACAGGAGTCAAAGCTTACCTGAGATTTTTCAGCAATGGCCAAGGCATACATTTCTTCATCTCGAAGTGTCTTCAACCATTCTTTCTCAATCTCCTTATTGAGTGGCAGACCCTTTTCTATCCTGGAATTGCAAGAGAAGATGAAGTCTTCTTTCTCCCTGACTTCCTTTTGGAGTTCGATGGTCAGGGCTTGTTTCATGGAGAGCTCAGCAACAAGAGCCATCATTTTTTTAGTAGCATCTTTGATCCTTTTCTGATAGTCATTCATCTAGAATTAAGGAATTAAGGGCTTAGTCTATGTATACATTCTACGAAGACTTGAAGCATATGGCAGGCTGTTGGCTCTCTATAATGATGGGGGCATTCTTGCCCAAAGGAATGAGGGTCTAATTGGGAATTCATAGAAATTAAGAGCTAGAAGAGACCTCAGAGATTGAGCCTAACATCCTGGTTGTGTAAATAAGAGCATGGAGAGAAAAAGAGAAGGATGTGTTTTTCTACTTGATTTCAAGGGGAACAGCATCGAGGGGAATAGTATAGTGTCTATTTTTTTTTTGAATTGGAGTTTCACTCCATCACCCAGGTTGGAGTGCAGTGGCACACTCCCGGCCACCCCAATGTTGAACTGCTGGGCTCCAGAGATCCTTCTGCCTCAGCCCTCCAAGTAGCTGGTACTACAGGCATGCACTACCATGCCCAGCTAATTTTTGATTTATTGTAGAGACGAGGTCTCACCAAGTTGCCCGGGCTGGTCTTGAACCTTCCACCTCAGGCAATCCACTCGCCTCAGCGTCCCAAAGTGCTGAGATGACAGGCTGAGCCACCGAGTCCAGCCAGTGTCTATTTTTAAGAGATAAGAAGAAGAGGGGAAAATGTTCTTGTTGCCTAAGTTCTAGCCTAATTTTACCATGTTATACTTACCTGGGAGCAAAACCTGATACAACAGAAGTTACTCTTTGCTTATACAAGATAATCAGCAGAGATCCTGCATCTGAAATGATTTTTTAATGAAAACTGTCACCTCGACGTGCTTGCATTATTGATCATAATTCCTAGAATGCATCATCATTAGGTTGGAAGCAAGCATGAACTGAACTGGGGAAAATTTGGTCAATAATTTGGAATGAGAGATATTCCTGGAGTTTTGTTTTTTAAACCTTTTCATTATCCAGCTATTTAGCAACAATGGAGTTAGAAGCCAGGACTGACTGGAGAAAATGATTTCAAGAGATAGGAAAGATGTAAAATTAATAGGAAAGATGTAAAATTAAAACTGGTAGTTCCTGTAAGCTTTCTGGCTTTCAGAGATTATAGATTTTAAGTGTGGCCATAGCCATGTAGGATAGTTGAGGAGTGACACCTTCTACCTGACAACACCCACTATTTCCTCTTACCTTGCTTCATTTTTTTTTCATCTCATGTCTCACTACTGACATATTGTATATGTCTTTGGCTATTTGGTTATAGTCTGTCATTGCATAAGAATAGACTCTTCATGAGGACAAGGACTATTTGTTTTATTAATCATCACAGTTCCACTGCAGGACAGTGCTTGGAATATAAGAAGAACCCCCCTCCCAAATTAAAATTCTTTTCTGAATGAAGGAAGGAAGGGGTTAATTATTAGTCTGTTTCATTCTTCAGTCTTTTGGGCCAGGACAAATTGAGACATGAAAAAGAGCTTCTAAATACTATTGCTAACCCTGAACATCTTCTTTTCCTAATAGAGCATACACTGGTCATTTCTGTATATAGACTTAGAGAAATGTTGCTGCTAGTGATTTGCCTGCCTCTGAAAATGTAATAACTGATTATTATATATAAACTTTGTCTCTTCAAGGGTGTAGGGAATGTAAATTCTTATGACCCTTCTACATTGAACTAATTTTTAGGAATCATGCATTGAATAAAAATGACTGCCATTTAAAGTTTCAATGATGTATCGTTACCCTTAAATTTCATTATCTTAAATTTCACCATTTTTATTTGACACTTTTTTTCTTTCACATTAGACAGGTAATGTGCCAGCATCATAATGAGGTTTGAGGGAGACACATCCTACAGTAGTGTGAAAACCCAGTCATCATCTTATGAACTACAAAAGGATTTGACTTTTATAATTCCACTCTGATGACTTCCATTAATAGATTGATCAGTCCAGTGACAGTTGTACAATTCAAGATTTAATTCAAAATAAGAAATGCTAAGACTTATTTAAGCTCATGAACTTTGACTGAATTAGCCATGTCCGATGTTTCTTTAAATGTTGCTTTCCTTCCCTTGGAAAAATGAATTTCCCTTTCTTTGGGAGAAATCATTTTTCACTCAGCCACTGTACACCTGAGTGTGTGTAACTGGCCAACCTCCCTTCTCCTCCATTTAAAAACAAAAAGTTTGGAATTATTCTAGGTTATTCTAAGTTGTAGCTAATATTTCTCATTTCTGTTGGGAAATTGGCAAGGGGAGCCATAAACTATCTAGGAAAAGTGAGAGACTTGAGATGTACATTCTTGTTGAATACCTACAAATGGCTAGGCTACTTATATCCTCAATTTCGCAATATTTGCTACAATTTTAGCTGTATTACATGCATTTCTCAGATGAGGAAATGGGGTTTTAAAATCATTTATGCATCCTTCTCAAAATCTTTTGCTAGTGCTGGTAAATCACCTCTCAGGGATCTGAATGTCTTTCCACGTTCCAGTTCTGCCTACTATGGGAAGATTATCACTCAAAATGGGTGGGACTGGGGACAGTCAAGTGGGGAAAGGAAAGGGGAGATTAATCATTAGGATAGGACTCAGTTATGCTGGCATTTTCCTGGCTATGGAAAGTGGCCACCACTTGCATTTCTCTAGCATTACAGTTGCCTTCCAGAGAGATTCTGCCATCAACTTTGACAAGTCAACCTTCAGTGAAAAATGCTTCCCCCCCAAAAAGGGAAATTTGTCTTTCAAAAGGAGGGGAGGCAACATTTAAAGGAACATCAGACATGCTGATTCAGGCAAAGTTCACGAGCTTAACTAAGTCTTAGCATTTCTTTTTTTATGAGTGAAAATTGTGAATTGCACAAATGCCACTGGACTGTTGAGTCTATTAGTGGAAGCTGTCAGAGCAGAGCATAAAAGTAAGTAAAAATGGCAAAGATGGCCTAAGACTTACAATCGTTTCCTATTTAGTGTGCCAAATGTGTTCCTGGAACAAGATTGATTAGTTACTTATTCATTCAGTAAATGTTTTTCTTGAGTCTAGTACACATTAGGGACTGAGGAAATTAAGAATGAGGGACAATTGCTGACCTCAGGAACCTACAGTCTTGGATGTGGGTGTTGCCATTATCTACTTTTTCTGTTTCCTCTGACTAGACCATGTGAACTTTTATGGCGTAGATAGTGTGTCCCTGCCTCTTTGTTTTTGCCCTGATGCCTAACATGAGGATAGCTCATAGTAGGTGTTCAGTAATTATTGATGACTGACTGAAATACCTATGCTGCTGGGATATTCCAAGGGACCATAGAGGCCAGGTGAGAAGTCAATTCTCTGATGGCTCTATGGTGTCTGATCCTGCTGGGGGCTCTTTTCAGTGTAGCTTTTAGCAGTCCCACATCTACCATGTGGCTTTGAATCTGGGCCTGGCAGTGGCCACCTCTGTGGTGCAGTTGACCTGGATGTTGTGTGATTGCTGTTGTCGTGAACAGTTTTCTTCCATTGCTGGGTTTTAGCTGAGTTCTGGATTGAAGAAGTTTCTACTTAGACTGCTGCATAAGTGAGGCCTTCCATTCAAAAGGAACTAAAAGAATTTAACTTTGTGCATGAGATACAAAGATAATAATTGTCATATTTGAGTAGTTACCTTGCTAGGTGAAACTCGTATACTGTCATTGAAAAGCTTAGGTTTTCTTATGTAAAGTGAATTCATTCAGGGAATAAGACAGACTTATTTTGAATAATTCTCTGAGTCATCCTTACTTTTCCATTTCTCTAATAGAAAGCCCAATCCCTCTAGTGCTTCTTCCAATAAATCAGGCAGTCTGTGGAAAGTGAAAGTTAATAAAGGAGTAGGGGCAGAAGAGAGAAGGCAGGGTCTCAGGCAGACCTTTTTGGCTAAGAGAAGTGTGTCCTGTTGGCAGGCTTGAGTTTTGCTGCGGAGCCTGTCCGTGAGCCTGGAGACCTGTTCATAGATGAAATCCTTCTCCAGTAACTTCTCCTCCTTCTTGGCCAGTTGTAGTTCCAGCTACAATCAAAACAGTTTCAATAGGAAGAAAAAAGTCATATAAGACAAAATCTTATTTCCTGATGAGAGCACTGCCTCCCCCCACCCTTGAATACCTCTGGAAAGTGTTTAGAGCTGGGCTAAGCAGAGACATCCCCTGCGCCAGCCGCACCACATAGCTCTGGGAGTTCCCTGCCCCCATACTCCATGGTGGAGTATGACCCTCTCAGCTCTGTCTAGTATCCATGCTGCCATTCTTCTGATATGTTCCCATTAGGAAGACAAATTAATCCATTTACGATGCCAAAATGGCTCCTTCAGGCAATGAGAGAAAGGTGCGTTTGGAACCTTGAAACCACTGAGTTTTGACTTCTTTTGGCAGTGTCTAAATCAAGCTTAGGCTACATTACTAGATTATAATGAAAGAACTATGTTAGTAACTAGAATAATTTCAGCATAACATGAAACAGTACCACAGGTATCTATGAAACCTAGCAACACGGGCTAGCAGGTATAATTTTAGCAAGAATGCTTACCTCATCTAATTTTTTGATCATTTCTTTTTCGGTCAGGTCTTTCCCTGGAAGGAAGCGAGTTCTGTTCTTACCCTCAGGATTTATAAACTTTTTCTCCAGGTCTTTTATTCTGTCTGTACACTGTGAAAACTATTAAATAAGAAAGAAACATTAACTTTAACACTAATTCCCCAGCTCAGTATATCTTAAAATCATATCACCCTGGGTCTTCAGATTCTTTCAGTAGTACCAACCCCGGCAAGGATAAAGGGAATTTTGTCTCCTTATCACCATATCAGCTGGGACACATGGTGAAGCAACGTTCCTGCTCCTTTATGGTACCATGACAATGATGCTGATAACTGACTCTACAAGGCAAGGCAGTCCCCTCTGAGTCAGAGAAAAAAAAAAGTTGATTTCACAAGCAGCTCGTTGCTTCCCATTTTGTGTTATATTTATGGGATGTTGTGTGGTTGCAGGGTTCAAAGTATACAGCCTTCACTTCTTCATTGTGAGTTGGTACAGAAACCAGGGTAACCAGCATACAACATGCAGGACTCCATTCAAAAACTTTGCGGGCAATAGGTTTGATAACTTCCCAAAGAAGAAGAAAGACATTCTTAATCACTGAATCAACACAATGTACACTCTGTGAGGAACAGCTTGAGCTATTTTTTCTGCTAAGACGCCATAGTGTCTTATATATCAACTATATTTGTTGAATCAATGAGAGTCGAAGTGGATGAAGAAATATGGTCATTCCCAAATAGGAATGGTAGCCACACTTAGCTTTTGTTTTATAGGGAAAGATGTGGAACATGGTGAAACCAAGAGGCATTATTTTCAGTTATTGTTTGTTTGTTTTTTACTGAATATCTGTATAATTTCAGACAAATGATTTATCTTCTCTAAACCTTAGTTTCCTCAATTGTCAAATGGGAAGAAAAGGCTCAATCTCATGGGATTAATTCATCAAATGAGAGAATACATTTAAAGTATTTTACAACATGTTTAGGAGTGGTACAGGTAGGAGCTTAAAATTTTAATTTATGCTCCTCCTTCCTACAAAAAGAATTATAAGTAATGACATAATTTAATTCTTTTCCTCTCTCTCCACATTGCTTAATTATCCTTAATATAATTGAATTCAATCCTTAATAGAATTGAAGTATACATATATATAGTCAAACATTTGCTCTTTTTATAATTTTTTTTTTACAGTTTTTTTTTTTTTTTTTTTTAGTTGGAATCTCACTCTGTCACCCAGGCTGGAGTGCAGTAGCATGCTCACAGCCACTGCAGCCTGATGCTTCCGCCTCAGCCTTCCAAGTAGCTGGAACTATAGGCATGTGCCACCATGCCTCGCTAATTTTTTGATTTATTGTAGAGATGAGGTCTCACCAAGTTGCTCAGACTAGTCTTGAACCCCTGGACTCAGGCAATCCTCTCGCCTCAGCCTCCCAAAGTGCTGGGATTACAAGTTTGGACCACTGTGCATGGCCTGTTCAGTTTATTATTAACAACAGTTAATGTTCCCTTTTCTTAATTAGTAAACTAATCAGAAACAAAAATATGATACTTGCCTACCAAAAGGTTGCCTTAATTTTATTTCCTCATGGGTATTTGAGGAAAAACTGTTCACTGTGTTCAAATTAATGTTCTTATGTCCTAAAATACTTCATGTGACTTCCAAGACCCTCAAAATGGAAATATTATTACAGGAACTAGGAGCCTATGACTCATGATAATTCTTGAATTAGATGTTGGACAATTAAAAACTGTTTCAAACAAATGAAAAAAATGCAGACCTTAAGAGAATTCTGAAAATGATGCAAAATAGGGGAAGACTTACAAAAAACCCAAACTCTGAAGCTGTAAAATATAACAGGATATGACAGGAACTGGCACTGCAGGACAGAATACAGAAATGGTTTGCCTGAAGCAAGGAATTTCACATCATGTCCCTCAATGGCACACATGACTTGTGCTAAGTAGACAAGCAAATAATTAAATGCAGTTTGAAAACAAATGGAAAGCTTTCTACTCAACTGTTCTTAAGCTTCGGATAAACTCTGGTGGAATAGGCAACTGATGATTGCACATAGCCCACAGGTCTCACTTCACATGCAGTCAACATAGTGCAAGTTAACCATCAGGCAGGATGTATAGTGTCATTACATGCATATTTCCCTCTTGGGTAAAACTTGATATCTCACACTGAATAACTGGTTTTATATAATAAAATGCCAAATATATTTTCTAAGAAAAATGTTTAGAAAAATTGAATAGAGGTATTGGTTTGCAGTGAACACAAATAATATGCTTACACAATAGGGAGAAAATTGTTCTGTTGCAGATCTTAATGAACTTAAAGTTCTTTTGTGCTGCTAGGCATCTTGGTAATTTAGGGACGGACAACGACAGATCTCAGGCTGCATTTTGGGAAAGAGCTGGAGAGAACCAAATTATTCTGTAAGATGGAGTGAGGCCAGTATGGAGTTCCTGGGGGGCAATCTGGGATGGTGAGTCTGTGGCGGGAGAGGGGTGGTGAAAGATGGAAAGACAAGCCAGTGAAATTGAGCTGGGCAAGGATGCTGCCTGGGGTTTTAGCACCCAGGAGACTGTCTCCAGCGATGGAGTGACTCCAAAGAACTTTAAAGAGCATGGATGTCTGGTATCTAATTGAAGTTCTTTGCATTTCTACTGTGTAACCCCACACTCTGTTGCTTCACATCTCCAGTAAAATGTTCACAAAGGCCTGACATGAATGATCTTGTGTAGGTGTACACTGAGGAAGATGTGAGTCCTGCATCTAGCACTGACATGACACAGAAGTGGAACAGGCACTGTGTGTGTGGGCCAATGAGGTGGTCCCCAAATGAACCACTTGTTGGAAGAAGGAGTTAGAGCCACAAGGAAACCTGGTAAAGCTACATGAACTTCTGGCCAATTGGCCTAAATCTGGCTACATTAATTGAATAAATGAATGGGAGAACACAATGAAATCAGAACCGTGACATATCTGTGCAAACCAAAAGATGCTATTATCTATATACTACATACACATTCAAATGACATAAAATATGAAAGAAGGCTTATCACCTAGTTCCAGCAAGTCCTGTGAATCCCTTGACATAACTAATTAAAAAAAAAATAGGGCCTCCCAAACTGATTAACAGCATGGATTAATAAAAAGCATTTACTTGTATAACTAGAAAAGAATGGAAGGATCCCTCCTAGACTTTTGATAATTTTAATGTTAGATCTTAGGGGTACAGTTTTTTCCTTAAAATTTTTGTACTTTTACAAAACTTCATTAGTTGTGTCTTAATTTTATTTTATTTACTTTTTGATTGGAAAAGAACTTCAGTGTTTTAATTTTATAACCAAAATAATAATAATAATAATAATAATAATAATAATAATAATAATAAATCTTAAAGCAAACTTGCCATTTTAGAAAAAATGTCATAGGTTAGAATTTGTTCCTACCATTCAAGTAAGTGGGAAAAAGTTTAGGCCACACATTTTTCAGTTTAATTGTCTCTTCTTTTTTTTTGAGTTGGAGTCTCACTCATCACCCAGGCTGAAGTGCAGTGGCACGCTCACGGCCACCCCAGCATCGACTTGTTGGGCTTTGGCGATCCTTCCGCCTCAGCCTTCCAAGTAGCCAGAACTACAGGAGTGCACTACCACGCCCGGCTAATTTTTTGATTTATTGTGGAGATGAGGCCTCACCAAGCTGGTCTCCAATCTGTGGGCTCAGGCAGTCCTCTCACCTCGGCCTCCCAAAGTGCTGGGATTACAGACTTGAGCCACCGCGCCCGGCCTTCTATTTTCCTTAAGAAAAAAACCCCAACTATTGCATGTGAAGAAAATAGCTTTATATTCATGTGTATATGTTTCTGTGTGTGTTTGCTAGTTTATGTTTGAATTTTTTGCTTTATTCCACTTTAAAGAGACCATGTCAGGGGGCCAGGTTACTAAGTTATAAGAGAACTACAGGGGTTAATAAGTCTAATTATATGTGTTTGCCAATTAATAATAAGCAACAATCTCCAGGCAATCTCTTGCTCCAGGGAACAAGAATGTAACAGATAAGATAACCAGATGGTCACCAAGCTCCTTCCAGCAAGCACCAATGACATAATTTTGCTGAGGGTAGTAAGAGCCTAGAATACTGAAGTTTTGAGCTATGAGGAAGCTGAGCTAGAGATAAGCCTCGGGAGGGTCTACATTCCAAGAAAGGCAGAAATTACTTCATGAGAAGAAAAGACAATTTGAGGCATGGATGTCTGAAGCACAGATCCCATCTTAGAGCAATATTCAAAGGCATTTTTAGGCATGCTATAACTCATGGGTTGTTATAGGTTCCAGGAGTAGTATGACTTGGTTTACATGCAAGAACTCATATAACTACAAACTGATAAAAAGGGGAGGACAGCAAATGGCCTGAGGAAGTGTCCCATGAACACTCTCCCACCTGAATCTGGAGTACAGTTAGATCGGCATCTAGAGACCTCTTGGCTGGCAGTAATTTCTGGGTTGCATGAATCTGTCTTTGTTTCTCAGCAATCTTCAGTTTCAGGAATCGGATCTTTTCTTCTAGGACATGTAGTTCAATTTCTCCATTTAGTTTCATCTTCTCTTGGATATTTATTTTTTCATAAAAAATGCTTACTTCTTGTTCCCGTTCTATCAGCTGAACGCCACTATGGTCAAATTCAGAGGCAGAATCTAAGAAGGTGTTGAGGCCACTGATTTACTAGTCATTGTGGTTCCCTCTATCTTTGGGTGCAAAGTATACATCAGCATAGCATAATTCCAAAAGACAATAAATATTCACCAATGACTTTGCAGTTAAACTACATTCACATGTTGGATTTTTCTGGGGATAGGAGGGTTGTCAACTTGGAGGCCGACCAGGTGGTTGGCTGATCACAGTGTCTCTGCAAGTCCCAAAGGTTTTCCTGGGGGTGGAAAGACTATCATTCTCAATGCATGAACAAAGTGATCCCATAGTCTGATTTTCTACAGATCTTTTACTTGGGCCAGACTTGCCAACCAAGGCTTGGCCAGAAGCACACAGGCAGGGGGCCAGGGAATGTGGTTCTGGTGCAAGTCTGTTCTATATTAAGTTGCCAGGCCCATTACGTTCTTTTAAAGTTGAATATTTCTGACGCTAATTTCCCCACAAACAGGCAAAAATCTGTCCTTTGTAATCATGCCAGGGGAAAGACCCCTCTTTGAGAAGAGAACATGAGGAGGAAACAAAGTAAGAATTTTCTAACTCCAGCAGCTCTGGTTTGCATGGTTGATCATGCCCCACAGATCTGAAAAGGGCCTGGGAATATACTGTTTGTCCAAATGCTTTGGTTTGTGCCAGGAGACAAATAGGATTTTTTTTTCCCCAGAGAAAAACCTACTAGTTCTTTGAAAATGTACTATTCCTCAAAGGACCCTAAAGGTCTTCCCACATACTATGCATATCTATTATCTCAGAGTTCTACCTTTAATTGCTTCTATCTGGAACTCTTTCTCCTTCCTTGAAACGTGTGCACATAGTTGTACTTGGCTAATTTTACTAAGTTCTATATTTTGTGTCATTTCCCTTTCAAAAGCTCTTCTTAGGATCATGTTCTCTTAACAACAGAAGCCAGGAGCAATGTTTTACCACATTTTTGTACTCTCAGCGTCTGGCACTCCAATATCTTACACCAAATGGCAAACGATCAAAGTTTGATGAAAAAAAAATCTGATACCAGATGACATTACTATAGGTCTGTACAATTGTACATTTCTCAGAATACTAGCTACTTGGGGGGAAATTGCTAAAATAATAAATTGATTAATGATATACAAGGGGGGACCCCCAAAACCACGGAATTATCTTTTGGAGGGCGGGCCCCTTCTAGTACACTCAGAATTTGTTCCTTTCTATCAAAAAGTCAACCAAAGTTTTTATCTGGAAGTTTTGAGAAGGCTGAATCATGATTTGTGAAAGAAACTTCCTGAGCTGTGGCAAACAGGTGATTGGTTCTTCTTCCATGACAATGCATCTGCCCATACCATGCTGAGTCTTCAGCAGTTTTTGACCAAAAATAGCATGACCCCTGTACCCTACCCTTCCTATTCACCCGATCTTGCCCCAAGCAACTTTTGTTTGTTTGTTTGTTTCCCTGGATGAAAAAGTTCCTCAAAGGGGAATGTTTTGCTGATGTGGAAGAGGTGAAACAAAGAACAGCAGAAGCACTAAAAGGCATCAAAGTTGACAAGTTCAAAAACTGTTTTGAGCAATGGAAAAAGCATCTTGATAGGTGTATTATATCAAACAGAGAGTACTTTGAAGGTGACTGAGGTTTAAACATGTAAGAATAAATACACAATTTTTATTAAATAAATTCTGGGTTTTTTTTGGATCCTCCCTATAATTGCAGCCTGGAAGAAACCATGTTACTCTTAAAGGTCTTATTTACTTGATAAGAAAATGGACTAGAAGAATGACTGAATAAATATAAGACCAAACCTGCCACAAAAAAATTGAATACAAATTCCAAAGACTTATTTATGACAATTACACTGAAAGAATTTAATGTTATCAGAGGCAACCCAAATGGTAGCCTGACAAGGAACTTTGATCTTCAAGTAAACAACTTCCCAAACCCTCCTTTTTTGTCTTTGTTTCTTTCATGAAGATAACATTTCTTAATATCAGGGGAAACACACAGCCCCTCCCCTTTCAGAGCTAAAGAAATCTGAATGTCAAACATCCCTCACTACTCATTGTCAAGTCTAGGTAGAAAAAGGAGTGACATTTCTAAATTGGATCCCTTAGCACTCTGTTCTCACATTAGGTTCCTGGTTTTTACCTCTCATTCCGACACTGAATGGCTTTATCATATTTTTTGCGAAGCTGCACCATCTCCTCTTCAATCACTGTGATCATATTGGCAAGCCTGTCAATGTTATTTAACTTCATTTCCTTTTTCTCCTTCATTTCTTGAAGTTTTGATACAATTTTGCACACGTCATTTTGCATGCTCTCTCTGATGATAACATTGTTGGCATGTTTCAGCATAGAATTTTGTAACTTTCTTTTAAAATAAAAGGATAATGGGTAAGATTATAATTTTGTTTAGTTTCTTTAAAAACAATGAAGACTTCTAAAACACAAGCACTATCAAAGTAGATCTAACTTTTGTGTATCCCTTGGAATGACAATAGCAGTAATAATGATATTCATCTTATGATACACTTCAGGAATTTTTATAATCCTTCCAGGTCTCAGCTCCTCCATCTGAGGGCAGTTTTCCTTTGTGCTTCAAGGTTCTGAGCCCTCCTTTTATCAAAGCAAGAGACTGTAGTCATTCATTTATTGCTCTGTCATTTTTTGGAGACTACTCTCCTGAGGACAGAGATGGTTATATCTGTGAATGTCCTTTGGAATTAAGTTGGGGCCTGACTCAGCCTAGGGTCATAATACATGCTAAATGAATTGCATGGCCTCCATCAATGTATTTCATTTTAATGTTGGATGAGAATCTGGTTAGGAAATTATATTTTCCTTTTCACCCCAAGTTCCCCAAATGCAACCATTTTATAGTATTTTTATTAACAGAAACTGGGTAATAATGGCCACGAGAAAAAGTTCAGGTTGTAAGACTCAGTAGATCCCTTGATTATCTATTGATGGCTAACACAGTCCAAAAGATCCTGGTACATGGTAAATAATAAATAGAAAAAGCCCCCAACTATTTGTCAGGGGGCAATAAAAATACTTCTGAGTATTTTTATATGGATTAACTCATTTATTGACAAAGATCATATGAAATAACTATTTTTATGGATAAGAAAAGTGATCCCAGAGGGAAAATGTAGTTTTTCCAGGGTCACATAGCTAATAAGTGGCAGAGTGGCATTTGAGTCTCGATAGCCTCCTCTTTTCACCACTCTGCTATATTGCTCCCATGAGCATATTAGATGCTTTAAATCTACAATGAGGGGATGCTGGTTAATAAACAATTTGATTATCTTCTAAATTCTAAATGCAAACTATTAAATGTGTGCTTTTTTTTCTAATTAGACAAGTGAAAATCATAGAGTAAACATAGGTAGACGTGTGTGTGTGTGTATAATTATAATCATAGTAAACATCATAGTAATGTAGGCATGTAAGTATATAACATAGGTATATATGTTTTTAATTTATTAAAAAAATACAGCTCCCAATCAGAAGTATAAGGAATCGTGGTCAGATGCTTAGAATATCATCTATAAAACAAAGTGTTTGAACAAGGGCTTTTCCAACTCTCTAAGATACTATTATTTTCCATTTTATTATCCCCAGGATATTTCAGAGTTCAAATGAACCAGAAGGCAAGTCTTTGAAAAGCCAATAGTTATAACACTTACCTTTCTTGAGTAACTGCACTATTTCTTAAAATTTCAAGTTCATTTAATGACATTTTATGCCTTTCTTTTATTTCATTTACTTTCTGGTGAGCTTTGTGAAGTAAATTAACAAATTTGTTTCTTTCATTTCGAATGGTGTCATACAGTTTAGCAAACTCTCTAAGTCTGTGAAAATAGAAAGTGTTTTTTTGAAATTGTGAACTAAAAATTTCCTCTCATTTATATAGATAAATCATCAGATAATTCTTTTACCTCCGATGAATCTCACGTTTTTTCTTCCTGTGTATCCTGATTTCAAGATCCTTTGCTTTGATTTCTTTAACAATGTTGGTATATTTTTTCTGAAATGTAAAAGTTACGTGTGGAATCAACAACATCATATGAATTCTCCCAGCTTTACCCAATATTTTCCCATCTATTAAGGAAAACTCCATCTTGGCCTGCAGGGTTGTACGGATCAGGGTGAGGGGGAGAGGCGAGATCTGAAAATTGCATGCCCAGCTGGAAGGACTCATGTTGGCTAGGACAAAGAGTTACTTAAGGAAGAGAAGAAATGAGAGGAGAAAAAGAAAAGAGCCTGCACAGGTTCGGTTTGAAGAAAAATTTGGAGAACATTGAGAGGAAGAGTGATTGTGAAAGTACAGTTGGACTGGGTGAGTGTTTATGGAAGATAGATGAGGGAAGAGGATTCCTAGTAAGTTTTGATGAGCATTATAAATTGAACCCTCTGTGGTATTTCCTGATAGAATGAAGCAATGATTTTAAAGTGCTTTTCTATTGCTTTGTATGTTGGGTCTGTTTTCCTACACAACAGAGCATCATGTTGAGACCAGCTGTAAGGAAGTATTACACAGATTACACATGGATATTTTATTTTTTTAATTTTTATTATTTTTTGTTGAGTTGGAGTCTCACTCTGTCGCCCAGACTGGAGTGCAGTGGCTGCTCCCGGACACCGCAACCTCGACCTGCTGGGCTCCGGCGATCCTTCTGCCTCAGCCTTCCAAGTAGCTGGAATTACAGGTATGCGCTACCACACCCGGCTGATTTTTTGATTTATTGTAGAGATGAGGTCTCGCTGCCCAGGTGGGTCTCGAACCTGCGGGCTCAGGCAATCCACTCACCTCAGCCTCCCAAAGGTGAGGGATTACAGGCTGAGCCACCGAGCCCGGCTACACATGGATATTTTAAAAGAAAGCAGTTATACTTCTAAAGTTCTAAGAATATATCAGGTGTTAAATATATTAGTTATGTTCTTCAAATTTAAAGACACTGGGTCCTTTATCTAGGATAAGAAACGTGTTAAAAGATGAAGTATTTGCTGGTAGAAGCCAGAGGAAACAGTTTCCATCAATCTCTTCAAGGACTGTGAGAGAAAAACCTGTTCGGCATGATTCCAAAGAAACTAGCCACTGGAGCCAAGACTGATGTGTAGCAATTTTATTTTATGTTGTTCTTGGTGAGAATGGAGGTCAAGAAGAAACCAATATTTAAGTAACTATATATGTGAAGAATAAAATGGATATAAAAAGGTAGTGTCATCTATTCTGTCTTGGGTGTGTGAACTGCATTAATTTTTTTCCCCTTCACCATTTATCTTTTTTTATGGCTGTAGATGTGGTGTGAAAGTAACATAATTAGATTGACTGCCTTCTTATGGAAATTACGGTTAATTACAGGTAATGTTTAACAGACTAATTCCCAATACTAAGAATACTCAATGAGGTAATCAAAATTTTTTTCTTTATTGATTTCCATATCTCAAGAGGGAAAACTGTCTTGTACTTTAATGTGAATTAGCTCACTTAATAATAAGGTTTGCTTTACATAGATAACATATGTATCAGTTTTTGGGTTTAACTGAAAATTGTCTAACTTATAAAACAAATCAGTGTTTCTTGTAACAAATAAGTATACCTCCAGTGTATCTAAAATTTCTGAAGAGGAAAAGAAGGGAGTTTCTAATGAGGAAAAACGCACAAATGGAGTCATTCCAGCCAACACCAGGTTGTTTTGAAAACACTGATGGGGACCAGCCCGTCCCAGGCCTTGATGAAGATGCCCCACCTAAGTGAAGATGGCTTCTTGCATCTTGCATCTTGCATCTCTGTTCTCGCCTTCTTTATTTTGCTCCCACTTCCTCCTCCCCTAAGCCACCCTGTTCTCTCAAGCTCCCTTCCTCCTTGACCACTGTCTTTCCATTCCTTACTCTAGTGAAACGCAACTATCTGTGACCTTCCTGATAGAAACCAAACTGTTCAACACAGATTAAATGACCTGTGCCATCTGACCTCTCTTGCTCTCCAGGCTCATTATTTGACATTCTTTCTCCCATCTTCCCACATGCTGACCATGCTAAACTTCTTTTAGTTTCTCAAATGTTAAAGATGAAAAATAGGCTGGGTACAGTGGCTTATGTCTATAATCCCAGCACTTTGAGAGGCTGACACAGGAAGATTGCTTGAGTCCAGGAGTTCAAGCCCAGCCAAAGCAACATAGCAAGACCTTGTCACTATAAACAAATTGTAAAAATTGGCTGGGCATGGTGGCAAGCACCTGTAGTTCCAGCTGTTGAGAAGGCTGAGGTGGGAGGATCACCTAAGCCAAGGAGCTTGAGGCTGCAGTGACCCTGCACTCCAGCCTGAGTGATAGTGTGAGATTCTGACTCAAGAAAAATAAAAAGAAATAAATAAACGAAAAAATAAACAGTTAAAAGAGGTTGTGAAAAGTTTGCTGTAGATTGGGTAATGGAGATCTCCTCTGCAAAACCTATTTAACATCATCCACTGCTTACTAATGCTTTGGTATAAGCTCTTTCTACAGAATGAGAAGAAACGCCATCCCGTGCAAATATTTACTTAGAATGAGAACAAAGGCTGTACGTAGAAACAGACAGCATCTGGGTCATGTGATAAATCCAGGGAGTCTATTTTAGTAATATATCATGTTTCCCAGGGAATTCCTGGGCATAATCTGGACATAATTCCTACGTGGGATAAATGATTCTAATAACTACTGTGACAGGAGAGTTGTTTTGGCTATTTGTTTTATTGTTGCTTTTGTTTGGGGATGTGTTGCACTGGGTCAGCTCTGGCACTTTGTAGGAATCCAGAACAATCATGGTGTGATTCTGGCATGTGCTTAAGTGATGCTGGCTTGATAAACTTGGGAGAGACAGCTGTCCAATGTTACCAGTCTTGAATTGTTCCTAGGTAAGTCACAGTGGCTCTGAGATGATAGTGAATCCCAGATATCTATGACCTGGCCTGTGTAGCTGCCGGTCTGTCTGCTGGAGGCACCCACCTTATTTTTACTGAAATTGCCATCTGTTTAACTCCGCCACTCATTATCAATGATCTATCTCTTTCCCTCTCTACATTGTTGACTATTGCTAATGGAATCCTGGAACTATTTTTCAGTGCATGATTGATTCTCCTTTAGTGATTTATAGTCACTGGAACTAGAAGGAGACATATAATTACAGTCATTCCTTGTTATCTGCAGGGAGTTGGTTCCAGAACTTCTTTAGTATACAAAATATCAAGCATACTCAAGTCCCAAAGTCGGCCCAGTGGAACGTACCTATAAAAAAGTGAATCTCCCATATACACAGGTTTTGTATTCCATGAATACTCTATTTTCCATATACATTTGGTTGAAAAAAATCAGCGTATAAGTGGACACATGTTGTTCAAGGGTCATCTGCATAGCTTTCTAATGCACACTGCATTAAAATGAGGCTAACCTGAACTCTTATAGTAAAGAATGATTACAAAAATGCACTTACCTGAGCCTTCAGGAAGTCTTTGGATTTTTGCTCCCTTTCATCAGTTTTGGTTTGAGTCAAACGGACAAGGGTGAACACCACATCTCTCATGTTTTCTTGTTCCTTTAAAAGTTTGTTTTCTTCTGCAAGTTGTTGTTCTACTAACTTAGACTCCACTTCTGATATAGTTTTCTTTTGAGAAAACATAGTAATGACAATTTGTTTGAAAGAATGCAACAAAGCTGGTATCTTATAGAATTTAATTTATTAAAACATAAAACAAAGTAACTCCACTGTCTTAGCTTTAATATTTTTCTTTATTTTATACAGTAATGTTCAAATCAGTGGGTTAACATGATAACTCTTTTTCTTATTCAGGCTATACCTTCACGTGACTAAGAAAAAGAAGAGACATAAAAGCATGTTTTAAAATGATTCAGCAGTAACTTGAATAAACAAAATTTAAAATTTTTTATCAGATATTGGCAAAATAGAACATTTGTTGTTTACTTTTAATGTAATCAATAGCCCATAATTTAAAAATCTCATTACTGCATAATGATTTTTGCCAGTTCTAACACATCCTTTTTTGTCAGATTTAATGTGGGGTAGGAGTGGACTTTGAGAGGAAGAAATAGACCCACATTAAGCAGGGTCATATGTTCTTTGATGATTATCTGATTGATGAGGCTTCATGGAGCAGAGTTAAAAACACAATAACTTTGTATTAACCATTCTTAGATGGAGGCTTAAATGAGAGTTTATATTAACCTGTTGGGTCAAATTCCTCTTAGCTACTTCAACTTCCTTGTGGAGCTCTCTTCTTCTTTCAGATAATGAGGAATCATCTTTAGGGATAGCTTCCATCTGGAAATCAAAATTTAAAACAGGCATTTATATAAGAAAAAAATCTTCAATGCTATGTAGTCAACCTCATGTGTACTTTTTAAAAATGGTGGGCAAATCATTATTCTCAATCTTACAGGAACTGCCTGCTATATAACATTGAAGATCCTTTTAAAGTCACATTCAAAGATCTGCCAAAAATCTATAATTCACAAGCTGCAAATATCTTATGTATCACTCATTTAGACATAAGACAAATATTACTAAAAACACCCAGGCTTTTTTGAGCGTAGACTAAGTGCCTGACAAAGTTCTAAGTGCTTAGACATATGAACTTATTTAGTCCTCACAATAACCGCATGAGGTAGGTAATATTATCTCCGATTGTACAGAGAGGGAGAATGAGGCACAAACACACTTAAGCAACTTGTCTCAATGGTGAAGCTACAAATTCAGTCAGTTAGACTTTGAACCCTGGATCTTAACATTTTCTTATACGGCCTCTTTGACTCATGACCCAGCACTTTAGAAACGTGTATACTATGTGTATTCAAATGATAGTTATTATAAAATGTGAGTTCATTTATAAAATTCTATAGGTTAAATAAAAGTAGAAGTTATTTATTAATAATCGTGGGTAGAGTTAGCCACTTATATGTAGTAGTTTGGTTAGTAGCTGGGAAGTTCTTACACAAAAGAAAAGTCTCTTAACTTCCTTGTTGATACCTAAAATTATACCATTACATTTCAGTTGTATTGGCTTACATTGTCCTGTACTATAGTACTTCAGGGAGAAGGTCTTTGTTGCTTATTAAGAATGAGTTTGTCAGATTATTTATGATGAACAGAGTAGAGAGAAGGAGGACACATGGCAGAGGATGGGGAAAGCCTACAGGAAGGGCCATCTTGGAGTGCTTATAGCCTACTTGACTTAGAGGAAGATTAGAGTTAAATTATTATGCCAAAGGTACATGACTCAAATCTGATGCTGGTCATTTCCTACTGTGACAGCACACACGTCTAGGCAAAAAGGTTGAATACTATCTAAAATTTGTTCCAAGAAGGAATATCAGCATGTGCTTCTCAATGAGCTCTCTATGGTCACCTAACAGAATCTTTCTGAGGGTCATGCTGTATCTTCAAGTAGTTAAGGCCATCATCCATGAATCAGTGTATCTTCCATAGCACCTTCTGTACCCGCAGGTGTCCATGTCCTGCTTTCCCAGCTCCTCTCCTACCATAGAGAGCTCATTGAGAAGCACATGCTGTGCTTAGGAAGATAAGACATGGTCTTGTGAAATCTATATAACAATATATGGAATTGTGTGGTTTTAATAAACATAAAAT